AGGAAACGTCTGATTTAACAGATGGTCTTGTGCAAACATACTTAACAGGTTGCACCGACCTTCACGGTTTGCTCAATAGTTATCTAAAGATCATACCAGAATATTGTGAAAGTGGAAATTGGAGTTAGCTCTATTTACTGTTGTAATTTACAATAGTGGTAATTGGAAGATTCACAGAAAGCCCTGTGCCCACTCAAAAAAATGTACCAAAAGGCCTAACACAGTGAGGACAACAAAATAAGCTACGTTGGTCCACAGCTATAAATATTAAATTTGATACATAAAGTTTCAAGAAATTGTGTAATTGCCATGCTTTTCTACGCTCTATTTGCTGCACAGATGCGGGCTTTCAGTTAGCACGTCAACAGCTTGCATGTGTTTTCTTTTATGTTCCTATGTGGGGACTTATATGTCATCTTGTGTTCATTTGGCCCATAATACTTCTAAACACACCTTTTTTCAAGGACTTGTCCTGAACAGATTCACTCCCATTAGACTTTTCTACTTCCCTTTATCTCCCTCTTTTACCGTTTGCTCCAGCTGTCACCTGTGATTGGTTAAAGGAGAGAAGAAAGGGGCCATAGTCTCAGCCTTTGAAAAATGGTTTCTTACCTTTTTTTCCTGGAAGCTTTCACTGGTATCTCCTCACCGCCAAGTTTGGGGAGGCATGCATTCACCCACGCACACCAAAAGAATAATCTCCAGAATTATTTGCAACCCTTTCCAGAACAATAAGTCACACTGTGACAAAATAATGATAATTTTAAAAAAATAACTGCAATCTTGATCTAGATTACCTTTGGTCAGTGATGAAATTTCATCACTGAAATTCTCATCATTTAATTTTTTTTCCAGTTTACTGAATTTGAGAATAACTTGGATCTGCGAGCTTTGCCTTTTGGATGCAGCTGCATTTCCATTAAGTGCAAAGCTTTGTTTTTCTTTTCAAGAAGTATTTCTTTGAATCCTTTTGAAAGTGAGTAAGATTGCCATCACAGCTACAGGACTCTACGAGGCTGGGAACATGGCAATCCAACTCTGATTTCCTTTATCTAACTTACACACACGCACACTCTGGCCTTTGTATATTCGCATATGAATATTATATGTATATTTTGAATTATTAGCTGAATTTCTTCAGCCAACTACGATATACAAATATGCTCGTTCATTTTTAAACACTGAATATAGACATCTATTGTTATTAACTTGAGAATTTTGTTTTTTCCCCCCAATCTCTTCAGTACAACTAAGCTGAACTGAGAAGTTGTCCTCTCCACTTTGGAAGTCATGTGCTCATGTGGAATGCAGGCATGTTATTGTATATCACTGGCAGCAATGCTAGACAAATAAGCCTCCAAGCAGACTGCATGTTTTGTCTCACAGCTGCATGTTTGTGTGTTATATCCTTCAGCTTTGTAACCATTAAAGAAAGCGACATGCATCGATAGAGATGGAGGGGATGGCCAGACTGAGGGTTCATCTTCATCCCTGTGCACTTTTTGCCTTAAATTCACTCATCTTTCACTCTGTGTCACTGTGAATTACTGCGTTTTAATACAAACCTAAGCTGGAGAAGCGTGTTAGTTCAGAGGAGGGCCTCTGTTTATAAGGTGATTAGAGTGCTTATGCTTCAGCCCGGGTGACTGAGGTCAGACCAGTTTATGTCTAGATTTCAAGGGGCCCTTGTAAAATGATACGCGTCACTGGCAATATGGAATAACCTTTAGGTGAAAAAAGGCACAGGTGGCAAAACAAACAAACTGCCTGTGATGTCTTGATCGCTGAACAAGTGCAGCGCCCTGAGTCTGAAAGTGGATGTCAATCACAGCATGCTGCTTTAGTGTGTGCGGGGATGTGACCCAGCAAACTCTGCTCATTCATATTCCTCCAGAAAAGAGCCATGAATGCATTTGGGAAATCTTTCCCCACTAGTTTTTTTTTTTCCATTTATGAATATGAATGGAAAGCACATGTGTTTTGAATTTGTTTGTAGATTTGCATTGAGCACATGAGCAAACAACAAGCATGCAGAGATTTGTATTCAGAGCTAAAAGGTTTTCAGGCTCTGTGCATCGCATCCTGGCGGGATTCAGTTTGGTATCCAATCAAGCTTCATCTGTTATTGCCCAAACTGAACCTTTGACTGCCCCCGAGTGGGTCGCCAGATAGAGCGAGGCAGGTGAGAGCAGTTTCTGCTTTTCAAATACAAAGAGGAGCAGATTGGATCTATAATCAATACATATAAAGTACACTGTTTGATTGCACCTTTAATGAGTCTATGCACATTAATCATATAAACTTAAGGGAAGTTCTAAAATAGCTGAAATTATTATTATTATTATCATTATTGTTATTATCATTATAATTAGTTGGAGTATTTTCATTTAATTTTAGCTCATATGATTTCAGTAGTTCCTGTTCCATCTGTGTTTTTATACTAGAAATGTTAATGTGCTATTTGTTTAGGATTTTTAGAATATCGAAAGGTCACAATCTCACATTATTCTGTCGACCCACAATGTTATATTCATATATCAACAGTTAATCTGCATGACCTTCTTCACTGGACAAATTCCCTACCTCCAGAGCATTAATCATAAAAGCAATTATGTTTTCTTTTTGTTTTTTTGCTTTAATGCCCTGATCTTCCCTCACAAACTTATTAATCACCACATGAATAGCCAATGTAATGTCCATCTAGTTTCTCCCTAAACGCTTTGTAAGAAATTTTAAATTAAACCAATTTTAAATGGAATATGCAAGGTAAGGATGTTATTATATTGAAAATTTCTTCTGACCTGTAGTTAATTGAGATACATTTAGAGTTATTTATGTAATGATATAGTGAGAAATGGTTTGGTAAAGCTAATGAGCATTTCCCAGAGTGCAAATTTAATAAAAACACAGTCCTGCAAAAGGGAGCTCAAACACAGATTTGGATCCAGTTTCCATGGGATGCTCTTGCCTCTTTTATGATCTTTTGGAAAAGGACAAAGATGTTTGTTTTCTCTTAATCTCTCAACAAACCCTGTTTATTTTGCCAAACTGGTTATTTGCTATAAATGCGTTCTGACCTCATGGGGATGTTTTCGTGAAGTATTGTGTCACACAGGAAATCATCCTCAAATCAACTCACTATTGGTGTTCAGGTTTTCTCCATTATATCAAGTCACAATTGCGTAATTTTCACGATTCACTTCCGATTGGTACACAAGTGGTCAAAGTGACAGTTTTCATTTCCCTCTCAAGACGCTGATGGCAAAATGCCAACCTCAGGCTAGCCGTGTAGTTGTCTGTAATAAATACAATAGAAGTATTTTGGTGGCTGACATAAATCAAACTTTAAACCAGATTCAATCCAAAGTCTCAATCCTACTTATTGTGGAACATATTAATGGATAGAGTTACAGTCTCCCAACATATTCCTTCAAAATGTCCTAACTGCACAATTCATACTCACTGAAGTTTTTTTTTTTATTAAAGGTGATTTTTCTTCTTCTTGTATAACTCCTGTCGTGGTGTCAGGAAAAAAACTGTAATGGTGTTTAACTGCCTTCTGTGAAAGCCTCAAGAGTTTTGAGGAAAGACCTTGTGGCTCCTCGTTATACAGTAAATATTCCAGAGTGTGAGTACATAAGTGGGCTTCTTGGGTTCTGTACCCCTCAAAATGACAGTTGACTGTAAAAGGTAGACCCTATGGAGCTGCGGATATGTGATTTACTTTGTTTTACTGGGAATATATGTCTGTGATTGTGAAATCCATTTCCATTTGTGGATGGGTCATTTGCTTTATAAATAAGATTGGAAGTAGCAAGTGGAAAATCTCACCGTGTTAAATGAAAAGCAGAAGTGAAGACATTCTTCTTGTTTAAATTGCTTTAAAGTCAAGTCATGCTGTTCCAGCAGTGTAATGGGTCCTTTAAGGGGGAGATCTTTTGGATATGTCTGTGGTTTGTCAGCTTAACTGCTTTCTGATAAAATATCCTGCTTTTCTTTTTTCCAATAATTCCATTCAATTAGTGTTATTATCTAATTGTTGAACTGTGTATCATCTCATGTTCATCAGTTTCAAAGATATCTTTGTAAAGGCATTTGCTTTCCTATAAACACACCATGTGGCTAACACGTGTGGGTTTACTTTATTTATTTATTTTTTTATCAGGGGTATATTCAGGGGTAATGCGCAAATGTTAAAACGCTAATACAATAAACTATTAATTGTTAGCCTTGCCAAAAATCATCGTTTTAACATTGCTAATGCATTTGTAAGTGCTACCAAATGCCAGACTTGATTTTTGCCTTGGTTGAGAGTCATTTTACATTAAATGTGCCAGTAAATATATTTCACAATCGTGTTTGCATGCCAGTGAGCAGAGCCGAAAAATTCAACACATGGAAAGGACCTATCATCATAACTGCCGCTGCTAAATAAAAGCTGCGTAGCATTAAAGTGTAATCAGAGGGTGTGTGCCCGTATTGCCATGACTTCATGTTGGATTGTGTTGTCATCCCTTGTTTGAAATCAACACCTGGTAGCACTTTTCCCAAAGAAAGGAGCTGAATGTGAGTAAGTAATGAATATCTCATGATGATATGACTCACGGTGACGGAATATTTCCACAGAGTTGGTATACAATAAATTAAATAACTATTGAAATAACAAATGCAAGATGAATGGAGAGTGATTATGTGCCTTCTGTTTTTCTACCAGCATTTTATGCAGTTATTGTATAAAGATACAGAAATGTGTAAATTATGGGAAAATTCATTAAAAGTGGAAAAGTGGAAAAGAAGGCTTTGAGTTTAAGATAGCAAATTAAGTTGAATGACTTGTGATTTATAGCTGTAAGCAGATGCCTAAGGTTCCTACAGAAAATATTTGATATCTGTGCATGTGCAGTCTGTTTTTTTTTTGTGAAAGTAACAATTTCTTTAATGTTTCTAATGTCCGCTTATGAATGTTGAAAGTAATAGGAATTTGTCTCATTCTTTTCCAGAAAGAAATGTTGCAAGGGCTTCAAGTTTGTGTTGGGCCAGTGCATTCCTGAAGGTACAAAAAAGTTTGGATGTCACTGTTATTGTTATCATATGTGGTAGTTTACCACATTTTTTTATTTTTTTGCCTGAAGAATGTCAAGTGGCTTAATTTCAGTACTTTATGATGAAACTTAAATTTATTTGTTGGGATTCCGAGCGATGTCGAAGCTTTAACACAACCTGTGTGTTTTCTTTTTTCACACTGGCACATCCCTTTTTGTAGACTATGATGTGTGTGCTGGCGCCCCCTGTGAGCAGCAGTGCACTGACCACTTTGGTCGAGTGGTGTGCACCTGTTACCCCGGATACCGCTACGACCGCGAGCGTCACAGAAACCGGGAGAAGCCCTACTGCCTGGGTGAGACCTAATCACTGCAATTAAGATAAGGACACACCTAACAATCCAAGATTTGTAATAGGTTGTGGTGTGAGTCTGAGTTGTACCAGACTGTAGCGTGTAGAAATGTATAAAACAATTTGACAACAAGTCTCCATATTGGTTCGCTCTTATTCCAAAAATGGCGTTTGGCAGAAAGCCATTATAAATACTCTTGCAATCAGATGGAAAAATGGCTTCTCTAATTTCTTTCTTTGTTTTCGAAACAATAATTGAGTAAAGCAGTATATAAGTCAAAGTGACCATTCATTTTTGGCATAAGGCAGTTAGTATGTGGTTAAATTGAGATTGATTTAGCTTTTCTTTTTTTTTTTACTTCTTCTTCTTTCTGTGTTGCTACACGTGCTATCTAAATATTTGTACCTTTTGAAAGTCTGTGGCTGAATGATTTGCCTACAGCAACACACAATGTGTCTCCAAAAGAAAATATTTTTCATAAGATAAGAAGTACCTAATGGGTTATTAGAATGATTATATGAAGTCATTATTTGGGCTTGGACACTTACCTTCAGATAGTACATTTTCAAATTCCTCAGTCTTAAGATTTCTAAAAGAACTTGCGGAACACTGCATAAAGATTTTGAGATGATTAATATTTATTCCATTATTTTGTTTTAATGCAATTGAATAATCAATGTTTAGTGTACCTTGACTATTTGATTCTTAATGATCCTTTTTTCCCTTCTTTGCTCTTTTGTCCTGCAAAATGAAGACATTGATGAATGTGCAGACAAAAACAGGAGTGCATGCTCTCAAATCTGCACCAACTCTGTGGGGAGCTACAGGTGTGAATGTGAGAAGGGCTATTTCCTGGAAGAAGATGGCAAAACATGCACCAAGGGGGAGAGAGGTGAGCGCAGGCATTTTCTCTTTATTCAAGAGAACATCTGACAGTAATGTGGGGTTGACTGCACATTATTATTGTTGTGTGTGTGTGTGTGCGTGTGTGTGTCTGTCTGTGTGTGTGTGTGTGTGGGTCTGTGTGTGAAAAAGAAATTGAAAAAGAGGGGGGTGGGTGAGCGGCACTACAAACACAGACACCTGGAAGTGATTAGACATCTTTGCCTGTTGTGTATGCCAGAGGAGTTCAGGCACCCAAACACACTGCTGCCCCTATGACTCCTGGTCCTCCCCGATTTGCTGGATACATGTGAAGAAAACATAAATGCTCAGGTCGATAAAAACATCTTTTCTTTTGCCCCGAGATTCAGTTGCCAGTGAAGCAGTGAGGGGCTGCAGATTTGCTACTTCCTCCCTTGAGAATATCTTCTGTTACGTCCTATAACATTTCAGGAGAAGCTGGAGAGTGAAAGACTGTGGTGCATATGATCATGCTTCTCCCCTATGGCCCGCTGCTTTGTAATATAGAAAGGAAAATAGTGTCCAAACATTTTCACCCATCCATTAAAACTATGCACATGAAGAGCAGGGCCCACTCTCCTGCAGGCAGGCTGGTCTAAAATAAATCCTAAAGAGGCTCTAACTTGTGTTTATGGACAAAATCCCAATATACATTTTAAATCGGTTGGTGAGCAAAAGAGCAGTGAAAGGCTGAATGATCAGTCAACGTAAAAGTAAAGTTGCATGTTCAATCCACTGAGGGAGGTAGGTTGCTTTTAGTACTTTATTTCCTAAAAGGCTGAATTTCTTAGGCATCAACAACTGGTCATGCAAATTTCAAGAGATGTTTATGCATTTTTGTTTCTGATTTTAAGATTGCGTTTTGAAATAATGAAAGAAAAAATGGAAACTTCTAGTGTGCCAGCTTTCCCCGTCCTTTATTTTTGCCCTTTAGTGAATGGGAAGCTTCTATTGCTCAATTTGTTGAACTCGATATGTCTTTTTTCTCCATTTATTTTATTTTAGCTTAGGTAGTTTCCACAAACATGGCAAACATTTTATGTTTTTAAGTGTTCATTTAATCGTGTCTTGTGTTCTCCTCTGGATAAGAGGAGATATCTGCCATCGTGGGAAATGGTGACACAAGTTTGGAAAAGTAGTGGCAAACCGAGCGCTTGTTGAACATTTCCCAGTATCTTAAATGATTTGAACGTTTTCCCATTCTCCAGCAGTTCATCTCTTTGAGAAGTGTGACAATGTCATGAATGCCAGAACTTGTTCAGCCACGTGTGAGGATTTCCTCCAGATCAGGATGTCTGTCTTGCAGCTTAAACAAAAGGTAAGAGAAAGCAAAAAAGTGTCCTTGAAAGAACAAAAATTATGTGGAACATTAAAGACTCTTTATTCACCTCAATGTAAACATTCACAGAACTGTTCCTTTCCTGATTAAGTTTCTGTGTTCTGGCTTTATATGTGACTGTATTTCAGAAACAACAGCAGGTACATTTTTTGCAGCTCTCATGAGAATACATTTTTATTCCCCCTAATAAAAAGAAAAGAATGTAAATATTTCCTGTATAGAGCAGGTTAATTTCTTTGCGCATACATGTGAATTGGTTTGACATTGTAAAATACTGCAGTGCGGAGCTCCATTGCCCTTTGTGGGAATTTGTAGGCATCAGAGCACAATTCAGTCAGCAGTGGCACTCATCACGCCTCCACTGGAACACATGATGTATAACCTCCAGCTGTGTGGTCGAGGTGCTCCCAGAGCTATACTCTGTATATACAGTACAAAGCAGCATATATTAGGAAAACAACCTGAAAATAGCCGTCACACAGCTTAGTCCACAGCTTTAGAGTACATGAGAGAATATTTTCTCACATGTTCATATGATGGCAATACTAAAACCTTTCAAAATAATTTTTGAGCCCCTCCAGACCTGGTCTCAAGGCCATACTCTACAGTTTTCCATAATCCCTACTAATCAGCAGGTGAAGCACAGCCTCCTTTCTGTGTGTATGTAGATGTGCTTCTATGTCTAGCATGAATTCTGAAGCACATTTTAGGACCTTGTAGCACAGTTAGTCAAGTCCACATGTTTCTCACTGCCATTGCCAAATCCACACGATGTTCCACTGATCAAAGATAGCTTTTCCCAAAGATGCCGCTTAGCATACAGAGCAGGAACCCTTTTGGTCATGCTGAATAATGCAGCGGGGTTGCCTGGCCTCCATCTGGTTTGGTTACAGTTTATGTGGTGCAGATTGATATCAGCTTACTTTGTTGGCAGAGCGTATGATTTAAATTCTTACTTGATTTTGGGTCTCTAGTGTGTAATTTTCCTGTCCTGTTTAACAGTGCCGACTACCTGAATGATTATTTGAAAAAAAAAAAAAAGGTTTAAATTAGAATAAAACCATTAACGACCATGCTGATGATCATGTGGCTTTCATATTGTAATGTGTGGTATTTTTATTTTCAAATCACTTCCTAATTAATTCTGTTATTTTATTCAATCTTTTTTTTTCACAAACTTTTTCAAAGATGGCCTTGCTATCAAATAGTGCTGATGTCCCTGTGCAGATGACTAGTGAGAAAATCCTGACATCACCTATATATTTGCCAGGGCCTCCAGGTTCTCCTGGACCTCCAGGTAAGACAAGAATATTGAGAAATTATACTACAGATACCAGAATAAAATTATAACCCTATGAATAAACATACATCTGGAGCCATACAGGCTATCCTCATTCATAGCTGCTTTATGAATACTAACACTAACATGTTAATCAGGTGACAGTCACGTGGGTACCATTGTATCTTCTTAATTTAGCCATTTATTGTTCTGGTCATCTGACATTAAGTAAAGCTTTGATCAGTGGCCTTTTGCTGTTTCTAATAGTAGGCTATCGTTATTTTTAGGAGATCCAGGTCCAGAAGGCCCTCCAGGATTATTAGGCCCTCCTGGTCCACCTGGTCCCAGGGGTTTGATGGGCCCTTTGGGACCCACACCGGACTTGTACCACATAAAACGTGGCCCTCGAGGATCTGTGGTCAGTTACGTTACATCTGTTTTACTTGGCTACAGAATATCTCTTTGTTTTAATGAAATCCAAATTTTGATCAAAATCTTCTGTTCACATGTCAATCTCAGATCAAATCTAACTCCAGACCTGATGTACATGTATGCTTTGATAACAAAACGTCACATCACATATTCAAACTTACATTTCCGACCAGGAGAAGATTTTTCTTGGATGGCAGCTATATTTCAATAACTATAAAAATCAGTTGAAAAAATGCAATAATTAATTTGCCATAGAGAAAGAACATCATCATATTACTATGACCTTCATGTTAATTAATAATAACATTCTCTTACACATTGATCTTTGCCTCTGTTTGGTTGGTTAAGCTGCACCATTCAGCCATCAGTCCACAGGTGGGATGGTGAAATGAAAAGTAAGATTTGGAAATTCTCCCTTTACCTCAGTCCATTTGACAGATTTTATAAGGCTCTGGGATATACTCACTAAAATAATTCAAGTAATCATTTTTAGCATTGAGAGACAGGTCCCAGGGGAGAAAGAAAACACACACCCTTGAAGCAGCTCATTTTCTTGGTGAAAAAGATGACACATGGAAATAGTAATAACAACAGTGAGGACTGAATCCATTCACAGCTTTAGTTGTTTTCTTTGGCTTATTGAGGTTTTGTGCAATGCTCAGTCTTGCCTGAGAGTGTGAGACCTCTGTGCTGAGGTATGGAGTCTGAATCAAGAATGTGTAAGATGTGGCCTTTGAGACACATTTCTGCATTTTAGAGCTCTTGTGTTTATGCAGTTTCATTATTGATAAATCAGAACATCAGCACCTGCAGTCAGTCGTGTCACATGCTGCAGGATGCCAAACCATGAAGTCAAGAACAGTTAGTGAGACACTGTTAGTGAAAGGAATCAGTTGTTTTGCAAATCGGAATGCATGTTTGCTCTCAAATCCACAGTTTGTTAATACAGTAAATCTGTGCAAATACACTGTGATCAAACTATGAGCATTTGTCCTCTGTTCGTGTAAAAACTGATCAGATTCAGGTTCACACTTTGGTTATTGGGTCACATGTGTTTGACCGCTTTGGAGTGTTTTAGAAATCACAAAACCATGACTCAGAGGCTTTACACTGATCTGAATATTGGCGCTAGTCCCTTTCCAATCTATTTACACGTCTTTGAAGATGATTATCCCAAGACGGAGATCAAAGCCGCCTCTGCCATTGATCTGAAGTCCCCCAGGAAAAGCTTGAAGCCCACTTATTCTCTTCATGAAGCACGATTAAGACAACAATTTTGTATTTAGAAAGTGTTTGATACATTTTTGGGGGGGGGAATTGACAACCTTACAAGAAAGCATTTTTCATTATGCATTAGCACGCCCCATGTATAAGCCACACAGAAACCACTAGACACCAAGAAAAGCTCAAATATGCTTGGAGGATTAAACATAAATTACCTACATGGTATGTTTTTTGTTGTTTATTTCCACTTAACAGGGGCCTCCAGGAGCACCAGGAAGAGATGGTCTAAAGGTAAGCTCAGATGTCTTATCGTCCTTTTTGTGTATTTTAAAATTGCAACAAGCAGCTATTCAGCAAGTTGTCCAAAAAACTCCCTTTAGGCAGCATGAAACCTCTGACGTTTCACTCTCGGCTTGCTGGTACACATCCTAAAAGAAAGAAAAAGAAAATAAGTGGAAGAAAAAATGTCATTTGATTAGCCAGATCCATGTCTGTGAAAATGAATAGAGATTCAAATCAATGCTTAAACACAGCAGGTGCCTGTATCCTTGTGAATCTTCATCAGGAGTTTAATATTGACAATGATAGGATTTTTTAAAATGATTTAAATGGCACCAAAAATGAATTATATGGACAATGTAAGCCCAAGCAGTACATGATCATGTATGATTTGGGTTTCAGAAGTGCTTGGGGCATCTAAGAAAAGCTGCTCACTACTGTGTGAGGTCTTCTTTGCTTATCAACATGTTTCTCACCTGTACAGGATGTGTTGGGGCAGACCCACTTTACAGGATTAGTTTGTGAGGAGCAAAAATATTGGCAAGAAGAAATAAGTGACAAGCCTGTGACTTCTTCCTAACCTCAAGTGGAAAACCTTGGAGTTGCATTCTGTGAACATCCCTTTAGCACTTTAGACCGGAACTGTTTCTGGTTTCCAAGAATATATTCTCATTTCTTTTCCTCTATCAGATTATTAACTCTGAGCATGAACAATGGTGATTCAATTGTGGTTTGGTGTCTTTACTTGTATCAGAACTAAAATTGAAATCCTGAAATACTGGTCCTTTATGGCACTTCTTCTATGTTAAGAAAGCATGAAGTGTTAAAAGCACAAGAGATTCTCATCTTGAGTCGACTTTTGGCTCTCGTTTTCATAATTCTGTTGCTCAGTCTTCTAAATGAGCGTATGGAACGGCTTAGGTGTGTAGTCCTGTTTGACTCAGAGCCTTGTATTCCTTTTGCTCACGTGGGATGTTTGTGTGGATAGATGGGAGGATGATGGTTATCTCTCTTACCGAGTAACAAATCCAAACCATCTGCCAAAACACTCCCAGCCTCATTGTGACCTTGAGCCTGGTTAACAACCGCAGCAGCCAGATCAGTTGGTGTTACTGCAGATTAACAAAGTAATTACATACCAAACGGTCGTGCCACAATGCACCATGTCAAATGGAGGATGTGGTTACTTAAAGATGTATTTCAACTCTTTAGGATACAAACATATCATCTGCCTTCCTGTAATCACAAGAGAAAATGAGTACAAAGGGAACCGTCCAATGGAATTCCTGCTTTACTTTCTATACATATCATGGGTATGAATACAGATATTTATCTTGAATGTAAAGAAATGTTTAGGAGCTCCTAAAATAAAGATTTCTACAATTACCTACATTGCCGTCATACTGAAAATTCTAAAGTGTTCTTTGGTGCTTTGATTTCAAAGTTTACCTTAATTCAGACTATCAAAAACAACTCATGAGCCCTCAAGCCGAGGTCCCCTTCAACGTGGGAGCCTTTGGAACCACAGCGTATAATCTAAGAAATTCCGTTCAAAGATCTTTTTATTCCTGCCTTACTTTTAGAAATTCACTTCAGTGTGTTTATCCATCCATCCATCCATCCATTTTCTGTACCGCTTATTCCCAGGGGGGTCTTGGGGAGACTGGAGCCTGGGCTCCACCCTGTCGGCCAAAATGTGTTCATCAAAATCTTGTTTTTTTTCTCTTATTGAAGATTAATACTACACAATCATTCCATGAAAATGGGGTACTCTTTTCAATCCTTGAGGCTTTGGTGGTTGGGTGCATCCTAAACTTCACTCTCTAGCTGTAGCTCTGCTCAATGAAATGTTCCCTGAGCAGATTATTATGAATACTTCTCATGTTTTCCTCCACTGTAATTCATCTTAACTAAATATTTGTTTTGTGTCCTCAGGGGGACAGAGGAGCTCCTGGGCCTGTCGGACCACCAGTAAGACTAAGGCTGTCCTTGCTGACGCCACACTATACAGTAGAACCTCTACATACGAATTTAATTCGTTCTGGGACCTACTTCATATGTTAAAATATTCGTATGTTGGTTCAGATATTCACATAAGAATACACTGTAATTCGTATAATTTGTTCCACAGCCCAAAAACCTACTATAGCCCCTTAAGAGATACTACAGATAATTACATGATAATAAAATAAAGAAGGAAATGTGAAAAAGGAAGGTATTAAGCACTGTTAATTACAATCGCAATCATTTAGTCAATTTCTCCCTGGAGATCAATAAAGTATATTCAATTCAATCAATTCAATAAGTAGAGGATCTACTGTACTTACCGTGAAACTCATTTAGGACTTAAAACAAGCTACCAAGAACTCTGTACATGAAATATCTCAGCTAATGATATGCCCTCCAAATAGTATCTCTTACAGAGTAAGCATAGGAGAATAAACAGTGATGGTGTTAACAGTAACAAATCAAGAGAAAAAGCTCAGTAGTCAGTCACCATCAGCCTGAATTGTTATTAGAAGTACCTCTGAGCTTTCTAATAAGATATACAGATGTAGAGGGAGCATAATCTTATTGTTAAGTACAGGGATATTACTCTTTCAATTCTAAATAAGGTTGTTTCTCTTTGTTCATGACACGCAGGGCCCGCCGGGCTCCTTTGACTTCCTGCTGCTTCTGATGGCAGACATTCGCAATGACATTGCTGACCTGCAGACCAAGGTGCACGGTCGGCCAGTGAACTCTCCAGAGGAGGACTTTCCCGTGGCGCCAGACAGCTGGAAGGACACCCAGGACAGTTTGGACACAGGGTCGGGGGAGGACTTTAAGGAACCCGCACTTCAAACAGGCAGAGGCTCCAAGAGAGGCAGGAAGAGGAAACCTACAAGAGACAGAACAGACTGAGCAGGCGGGATGTGAGGGCTGTTTTTACATACTTTATATCAGGAGTAAATATTGAAGTGTTTTGCTTTTTTTTCTATTTAACTGATTTTGGAAATAAGGAATTTGTATGCTGTTTTATCAAAGATGTTTATTTTTATACAATAGACAAGCCAAAATGTGTATGTATTTGAACAAATGTGAGTAGTGGCATAGTGCATGTTTTTTTAATTGTGTGTGTATATTCAGAAACACATTTTCCCCCTCAGCACATGAAATAGGTTTCTCTAAGTGTATATTTTCTCTTTTTTGGGGAAACTATTATTAATTTCAAATGCATTTACCAACAAAGTGACCAACTTCAAATCTTATCATGGCACCAGTTGACATTTACACAAAAATGAACACTATCAGCACCACGGTTGGTGTTGTGCCTAATGTGTCCCGAGTTTATCTATAAAACACTCTAGTGCACTTTTCAGTTGCCATAGCAGCAGAGAAGATCATTCAAAGATGACAGAGCATCACTATCTCTATTTTATATAATCTTTTTTTATTTACTGATGCACAGATATTTGGAGCTGTGAATAAGTATGGTCACATTATGAATTTTGTTAGTTGCTTTTATTTTTTGATCAACTGTTTAATTCCCCCAAAAGACCTTTTGTTTCTGAAAATATTTATATATATATATATCTGTATATATATGGAAAGCTTTTCAATTATGTTTGCTCCAAAAATATATATATATATAGTAAAACCAACTGATCATTTTAATTCCTCATTCATTTATGCCAGCTGTAGTAATGTTTGAAGACACAGTTTAATAAAGGAACTTAATAATGTTTAAACTTCATAAAAAGAATATAGTCAAAATGATGACATATAGAATACGAAGAACCTTTTTTACTTCAAGCTATTTGTTTCATGAGTCGGTTGTGCTGGGGATAAGGAGAAAATTATAAAGACACCAGAGGTTCTGCAAAGTAAGAAGCAGTTCTGCTGAAAACCAGTAATCTTTTATGCATTTAAATCTACCATTTATAAAATTTGCCACATGAAATGATTCATCTACAGTATTTAAAAGATAACTTAGGTTTTGTATAAATACTGCAAATCTGATTTAACTTTAATTTGATTTGAAATTCTTCCTAACATGTCTGACTTGTCTCCACCAGAGGGGGATCTTCTCAAAGCACAAAGATTTACATATAGTGTAAGCTTTATGATATTTACAGAAAGTCATGAAGACATTTTTACATGTTTTTTTTGGGACATTTGTGAAGACAAGTCACAAGTGCATGTGTGGTATAACCTTGAAACAGAAGAAAAGACTAAAAGTTGTCTGGACAAATCTCCAACATCAGTAAGACTTTACACTTTACTATTAAACATTTATCTTGCCCTCTTGAACCTTCAGAGTTCAGAAAGTGACTGCTGGAACTGACTGAACCTGCATGGCCTTCATGTACTAAGGAGGAGATTTTGGCATGGAGCTTACAGTAGGATTTTGAGTGTGGTTAAGCCTTTGCACAACTCATAAACTTTGTTGTTTCAGCCTTTGTCGTTGGCCTTTGTCTCATACTCATAACTTATGTGTATCTCGCTGTCTATATTTGGAAGAAAAGAGGTTTGAGGATAAAGTCTTTGGCACTCATTCAAAACGATGTGATCTCATCTTCATTTTCATGAATAACAAAATCCATCAGCATCCACTGTAGAGTTTTCATTGCATCGGTGTGCATATTTACTCGAGAGAAACAGAGGCAGGCCAGCATTAAACACAATGCAGAATAGGTTCATTTTTCATTAGAAAGCAAATATTTAGAAAATATATGTTGTCTGTATGTTGTAACACATTATTTAAAATGAACTAATACTGGCTTTGAAAGAAAAGAAAGGGAAATAACAACTATGTCCACTAGATGGCAGAAAACTCTCAGTTGTACAAAGTCTCCCCATAAGGGACGTCAATGAACCCATAAAACTTTAGGTGAAGTTCACAGAGGCGCATTAAGTTGATCACAACTCAAACATGTAAAGTTTTGGGGATCTTTAATGTGTTTTTTCTTGTCTGTTTTGTGACTTATCCTAATGGATTTGAATGGGCAGTAACACTTTTCTGAAATCAAAAGGAAGGAAATTGAATCAATTTTTTTTACTTTATATTGTTATTGATAAACTAAAACTGGATTAATGTCACAGTATGGCTCTTTGTGTTGCTCTGTCCAAACAGCAACAAAAGTACAGCAATTTGTTTTTTCCTGTTTTTGAAATGGTAACAGTTACATTTTTAAAACTGACTTTACTCTCAGTAAGTCCATTTCCAGGGTACAGTATGAGTCATCACTGTTTTTTGATTGAACAAAAACCAACCCAAAAGACCTGTTTACCTCTTTTAAACAAGCTGTGTTCATCTAATTTTGTAATGAAGAATAGGAAAACGAAAAGTTAGTCATATTTTTCTAAATCCCCTCTGGAAGCAATTAATCACCGTCAAACAAGGACAAGCCTTAAAAGAATTCCAGTATTTACTGAAGTGCCCCCTTGTCCTTAATTATATCTCCCCACTTGTCCCCTTCATTATTTAGACCTACCCCCAAAAAGATGCAACGCTGGAAAAGAACACACTCACACACATACACACTTCTCCATGGAAATTGTTTAATAGAAAATGAATGAGGGAGTTATTGTGCTGTGATAAAGGCTTTAATGAGGTAATTTTATTAGAAGCGGCTGCACAGAACTGTTGGAAACAGATGGAGGAAACAAACAGGCAGAGTCAGAATAGAGAAAATTAGTGTTACCCAATTCATTAATTAATGCGTTAGTGTGCACAGCAAATTAACTGCCCCAAAAATCTTCTATTCAGGGAAGATTATGATGAAGAAATACATTGTTGCCCTCAGCATAATTACATGACAGTGCAAATTCAATTCTAATGAGGCGAAAGGCACCCCTTTAACATGCATCCCCTATTCCCCTGCTCTGAAAGGACCTGCTCTCGTTGAGGCCTAAGTTTAAGGAAGTATTGAGAGTGAAGGAGACAATAATGAAAGATCGGCCCAGGCCTAAGTGCTTTACATGCTGCAAACAGGTAGAGAGAATTGAATGGCTCCCTTTCTGGGACTCCTGGGGGGCCTGTCTTCCCAGCACAACAACACTTGGCCCTAAGAAAAGGGTCCGCTGAGGAGCCCGGGGAGTGAATGGACCTGTGCCGCACTAGGTCACTCTGAATGACCACAAGTTCTCCAGTGATTAAAAAACTATGTTATGCCGGCTGGGGCACCACACATGTACACAAACACGCACGTAGGCACAGACACACACAAAAAAACACAGAGACAGCTCTCACCCCTTCAACTCTCCCTCTCATTGAGTTATCTTTACTCAGGCTTTGTCTCCTCTAATTGGAGCTGATGAGTGACTAATTGGTAGCTTTTTTACAACACCCAGTACTTAAGTGATGGCAAGCTGAGGGAGGCAGCATGAGCGGAGTTAATGAGAGGCTTTGCACAAATAAAAGCTTTAAAATGGGCCTGTCCTTCAGAATAGGAGTAAAGGAAAGTTGAGGATATCTTTTGTGTCCACCACATCTTTCACTTATGTGCAGGTATCTAAAAAGAAGAGAGTGAGGTGGAGGGCACACAGTGGCTGCTGAAACGTTGAGCACTTGTGCGCATAAAGGGATCTGTTCTGCATTGTTTGGGGCCCATCGTTTAGTGTGTCTGTTAATAATGAGAAAGGACTGCTCCTCATATGAATGTGGCAAAGTCCTTGGTGGACAATAAGTGCCCTCTCTTGCCTGGACCACACTGGACCGTGTTGAAGCAATCCGAAATAAAGGTTTAGCTCTTCTGTATTGTTCATGGTGAGTATGTGGCCTATGTTCGTGGAACTGAACCAACAAACAATTAAAGAATACGCAGCAGCAAAGCTCTTGGCGCTCATACGTGGGATAATCATTACTCAGTATAGATTATTGGGGAAAATCGCAGCTTATCAAATAAAAATTCAAATCTGATTTAGCTGTGTTAAGGTGCAATGCACCTCTGTTTTAGTATGTAACTTATATTTTGAGGTTCACTAAATGGAACTTTTATCACAAAAAGACGCAAAGCACTCTGATTTTTTTAGTTTCACATTGTGGTGGTAAATGCAAGAGCACAGTGGGTTCAACTGCAGGACACTTCCTTAGCATGCTGTCATCTCAGTAGACATTTTATTCATGTGATAATGGTTTGCTTTAGGCTTTTCAGGTATGAATAAACTCAGGCTTCATTTAACTAAGCCATAGTATAACACCAGGAGGTGACCAGCCACTCTCCCTTTCCTGCTAATTTGACACAGGTAAGACAAACATCTTTAGATTCTGGGATCTTCCAGGGACAAAAAGCCCCATCCACAACACAACAGGTATTTGTTTTATCTGTTAAAGCCCGTTTAGGGTCTGTAAATCTCAGCTAATCCGAACGATGGCCCACAATACACAGAGCAACTGAAGGGGAAGAAGATATTGCAGGAGATGGATTGATCAATGTGTCAAAACCAGGAGCAGAAATAACCAGAGAGAACGCATTCAAAACAATCTCACACAAGAGGTTCCAACAAACAACCACTTGTTGTCAGATCCAGGATTACATTTATAACAGCACTGTATAATTCACTGGCCAAATATTTGTACTAACTCATGGGATAGGCTATTGACAATTTCAGTGACCCATTAACTTCCTGCAGTTCCCTATTGTTCATGTCTAAATAGATCTATTAGCATTGCTATTTATTCAAATCCTACATTTCCTAACAAAGAATGTGGTTAAACTCTCTAATGAGGGATTCCTTAGACAAAGGATGAGGCCTCTAATTTGTCTGCTCCCTAAATCCATTTGAAATCTGTTAAATTTTGTGAGTCGGTAAACTAAAGTTATTTCCAGGTGCAACTTTTACAAAAAAATGTATCTGTAAAGCATCATTTCACCGGATGTTTTTCTTTTTTTAATGTCTTTTTTCAATCTGTTGGTTTAACGTGTTTAGCTGTTGATGTTCTGTTCTTCCACAGAGGTTACAAGGCTGATAATGTTAATAAATCAGAAGTGTCAGTTTTAGTGATGTGGAAAGCAATGCATAACTCCACACTTACCCAGCAGGTCTTATCATAGGTGATGCTCAGCCTTTGGCATTTACTGATCAATTGGTAAAAATGTTCAAAATCCCCAGATTAGTGTCACCACAGTGGCCTGGTTTGGTCTAACGTGTGCTCCTGAACCCGTAATCACGGAGCGTTGCATTGACGCTGCTCCTCCGGAGGCAGCAGAACAAAGCTGGTTGGAGTAAATGGAAAACGAACGGCACATAATTGTCTCCTCTTCCATCTCCCACTGAGACTTTCAAACTGCAGTGAAAGCTCTTGCTGCCAGCTGACACAACTGTGTCACCTTTCACCGACCCTTTATAGGCTCATGACACTGGCAACACACACAACTGAGGCGGTTGGAGGACCATTCACCATGTGATTCAGAAATTTCTAATACCAGCGCAGAGCAAAAGTTTGTCATGCCTTGCTACTTTCCTCAGAAAAATTACAGTGACGAACAAAAGATTAAAAATACATTTCTGTGAAAATTTATCAGACAGATGTCTAGAAATGTAAGTTTATATAGTAGGTTTTAAATGATGAAACTGCGTACTCAGTTATAGTTCCCAACAGACAAGTGATAACTACATTTTACTAAGATATAGCCAAGTTTATTTCTTTTATTTTTCTCAGCTAGTCCCTTCTTGGATTGTGATTGTCACATGCAAAAAGTTGCAGGTTGCAATTTAATTTACACAACATCTAGCTTTAACATAAGTTGATGTAGTTTTAAATTATATTAGGATTGCCAGTGTCATTAGTACTGGTACTTATTTAGTTTAACTTTTTTTTTACTCCAGTGTCCATTGTTTAACTTCGAGTGGACAGGAAGGAGGGCAGAATGAGTGATGGACAGCATGTAGCTAAGTGCTCCAGCATGGGAATCAAAGTGGCTGCATCAAGGAACTACAGTTTCTGCACACAGAACTTCTGCTCAGCCAGTTCATACAGCGCTCCAACACTTCTTTCATTTTGTCAGCATTGTATTCTGTGAATGATTATTCAAATATTTGGCAGATCTCACCATCTCAGGCAGTCCTTCATCTTTTTGGAGTGCTAATTAGAACTTTTAAAATAGTTTTTAATGATTAATATTGAATATTATTTTAAATGTGCACATGTTTTTGTTGTTGTATGACAGAGATCATCAGTAGATATGAATAGACTGAAAAAAGTCATGTGTTTTTTGGCCTGTAGTTCCAGAGCCTTGTCCAGCAATAGATCTGCTGTTTGTAGGGGTTGGCGTGTTTTGTTAGACTTTTGTAAACTGAGATTTTTGTCAACAGCATTGGCACTGAAAATACATCTATGTATTTGCAGCCTTCGTACTTTGGATGTTTAAATCAGTTCCACTGCCTACAACATAGTGTGATTTGATCCAGTCTGATTTATTTGACACATATTTCTCCTGTCAATTTTTACAGTGAATGTACATTTGAATTTAAAGCCATGACACCACTATGTCCAACTTTTTTAAATGTAATTTTTCAATAAAAATTCAATTTAAGGTTACTGTGAATTTGGAGACAGACATGTCACTTTAAATAAAAGCTAGTTTTACGGAAATACAGTCATTTTACATCTCATACCATGTCGTTCAAATTTAGGATGAGGTTTGGTATTGCATTCAATGTGAGCAAAGCTTTCCTGAAAGTGTTGTTTACTCTGCCACTCTGTCGTTGACTGGCCCTTCACAGGCAAATAAAGAGCCTTTGCCATACGTGCACCCCCATTCTGTAACAGATGCTAAGTTTGTAACCTGATGGTGCTTCTGTTGATGACATAGCAGCTTTTGTTTTCACCAAACCTGATAGGAATCGTTATTTTAACCTTCATTTTGTTGAGATGTATTATTACTTTTCTTGATCAGTGTTGTTTTCTTCTCTACATCCCAATTTCTTTGTAACTGTTTAAATAGCCATTTTCTATCTTATCATAAAACCTAGCTTGAAACAGATAGTTCATCTCTGTTGCCACTATTCTATTATTGCAGTCAAATGTATTTATACGCTTATCTTATCTATTTAAACAAACCGTGGAGCTGTCAACGTGACCTGAGGCCTCCCCAGTCAAATCAGCTGCGCAGACGGAAGGGGGCGGGAGCAGCCGCAAACTGACCAATGAGAAAACGCCCTGTTGGCCCAACAGGCATCCCGTCATGCTCGCGGACCGAGCGCTACGTCAGCAGTGATACAGAAACATGGCGGTGTCCGTGGCACAGTACCCGGCTGCCAGCGTTCGAATGTTGATATTAAGTTTCCTCGCAACGTTAATTCTTCAGCGAGGCGTCGCCGACGTCACCCCAGGTGCCTCGGCTTCGGAGGAGCCTCCTCACCGCCGGTTCGAGTACAAATACAGCTTCAAAGGTCCTCACCTGTCTCAGAGCGACGGCGGGATCCCGTTTTGGATCCACACTGGAAGTAAGTTTGTATCCAGCTGTCAACATCGCACAACCTCTGGCCGTGAAAAAGATTTTAAGTATGAGCTTGAGGACGGTGCAGGGGTGAATGTGAGCGGTGATTTTCACGTTTTGAAGCGGGTTTCAGTCTGAAACGACACTGGACTGCTTTTTATCTGTCGCAACTGCTTTGATTTGGCCACCCAGGCTTCATTTGAATCCCTATCAGACCCTGAACGGTGCATTACTGAGACTTAATGGGCCAGACTGATGCCAGAGTCTGTGCAGACGCTTTGAGCTGCAGTATTGAATTGTCCTCTTGCAAAAGAAAAGGCCTTTGGATTCTTGCATCACACAGCTCAGCTACTGGCAGCTGCCACATCTTTGGGTTCCAGCCCTTTCCCCTAAAATGAGCACATATTGAGGGCCAAAAATAATAGTAACTGTTATAACAACTGTTTGGCAAATGTTAAACATGGTGAGTATGTTATGCTTTCCTATTTGGTAAGACTGAAAGCTTTAGAGAAATGATGATGACAGTCTGGAAAGCTGTGGTAGTACAGATTAAGGGAATGAAAAAACGTATGCTTTTAGTCTGATTAATTGTCATGAGCTTAAAGCATTCTCTTTGTAAAACTTAAAGAAGAAAAAGACAAACACACCTTATGGGATCACGAAAAACATCTTGTGCTGGTAGTTGCCTGCACAGTTTGAGGAGTCAGGTTGCAGTAACAACAGACAAAGTAATGTGCAAATAAATCTAAGGACAGTGTTGCTTATATACCAGCCACCAGGCCATAAAAAGATTAAGGAGCAGGTTACGCCCCGATAACGCTTGCATATCATAGCGAAACCAGAAGGGAGAATTAGCCCGACAGAAGTTCTGTCAAAGGACAATAATGAAGAAGCACATTATTTCCTGGTTTACTCAAACTTAATATCTTTTCTTTATCTTTCTATTCTAGATGCTATTCCAAGTGCAGATCAGGTGCGCATTACTCCATCCCTCAGGAGTCAGAGAGGCGCCGTTTGGACAAAAAACAAGGTCAACTTTGAACACTGGGAAGCCGAGGTGACCTTCAGGGTATCCGGAAGAGGCAGGATGGGAGCGGACGGTTTGGTAAGAAAACTATTTAAACCTGCAACTAAATGAATGCAGTTTCCAGTTTTTAGGAACGGTATGTCGAGAATTTCTACAAAAATTCCCGAGTTTCAAACCTGAGGGTCAGCTGAGACCTGAACGGATAAGATTCCTTCAAGGGATCTGGTTGTTTCCTGTATTTAAAAAACAAATGCATGTTGGCTAAGAAGTCCAGGCAACACCTTTGGAATCCAAACACTTGAAGGGTTTCTTTTGAGCGTTTTTCTTTGTAATCAAAATAAATAAAGCACCAATGTCTAATTAAAAACAGATGGATTGAGCCTCTGAACAGGGCTGTTTGCTCATTATATCACTGAGTTGACAATGCATTATCACCATGAAAAATGACCTCATTTTAGTTGATGGAATAACAAGAGTGGCCACATTTTCAGTGTGCATGCCATCTCCCCATTTCCTGTTCCCAACATCTCCATCAGTGAGAGTACATGGTTTTTCTATCGATTCACTACTCTCTTCTTGCGGTCATGTTTTTTCTTTTGACTAATTAGACTCAGGCAGGTATCCTACTGACATGTGAAATACAATTTGTTAGCAGAAATTAAAGTGTATATTTTATTTGCTCTTTTCTTTCTCTCGTTTTTTCTTATTGAATAAAATAATTGCTGTCAATATCATCCAAGTGTTGTGATTCCATAAGAGTTGCCAGAAGCTGTGGCTGATGAGGAACCGTCCATCATGGTGCCAACAGCCACAGTGGCCAGTGAAAGTCTCCATGCTACGTAGATAACACCATTATCAGAGTTAGCCATGTAGGAAACCGATGAAATGTGAAAAATCTGCTGCGTTAAGCCAGCGCACCATGACCGAGTATGGTCACTTTTTTAAAGAATGAATATGTTTAATTATTCTAAAATTAGTAGATAAATAAGATGTATAGATAGTCACAATTCCTCTCTGAACACAACTCTAAAGGGGTAATGGACAGATGTGTGGTGACACATTTATTTATTTAATTATTCACCAAAATGTGTTCCTGAACACAAAAGATGGGCCTGTCAGTTTGCCTTATATGATGATGAACAGGCCTCGACTCACTCTGAATACGCGAAAGTAAACTGGGCACCCTGGCTATTTTTAGAACAAAGAAAGAGGTCAAAATGTTCTATATATCTGCAAATCTGAAGACTCAGTTGAGCACTCATGCCAAGAAATGTTGTAAAACAACTTACAAAACGACTCTAACAGCATTGTAGTGTACGTCTCATCACAACACTACGTTGTGTCAGGAAATTTTCAGCCATCGCCATTTGTGGACAAATTGATTGTTTTTCAGTGTTTGTCTGCCAGTGGTTTTATTTATTTTCTGTTGTGCACAGTTTCACTGTGACCAGCTCCTTAATTGGTGATTTAGTAGATCCTGATTTTTCTTTTTTCCCACAGGCTGTGTGGTTCACAACTGAACAGGGCCTTGAGGGCCCGGTTTACGGAGCTGCTGATAAGTGGGATGGAGTGGGAATCTTCTTTGACTCGTTTGACAACGATGGAAAGGTTTGTCAGCTTCATGTCACTTCTGAAACATGCTGAAATTGACACCACAGTTGCTCGTCACTGTTTTTCAAGAGTGTTTTTCAACCCACTTTATGTGACACTTGTCTGTTTATGTATTTGTGCAAAGGTACTGGATTTGGTATTTAGAATGAGATTACAAAAAAGTAAAGCTACTTCACGTCTTTAGAAGAGAAAAGGATTAATGTGTTTCCTTTGTTTTCACATTGTCATTGTAGAAAAATAATCCAGCTATAATTGTTGTTGGCAACAATGGCAACCTTGTTTATGACCACCAAAAGTAAGTAAATATTTCTTATGCTCTTTTCTAATGTTTTCGTCCACTCATATTACTGCAATTTAAAGAAGATTAGGAAATATGATTATATTTGCTTTGAAAGTAAATAATCCCCTATACTTTCTAATCTCTCCTGAGTGAGTGAAAGCTTTTCCTGTGCTATTCTGGTTCGTCTTAGAGTTTACGTCGCCACTGCATAAGGGTTTACAAAAACATATATGTTGTTCCCTTATCTGATAAACTGTTTTCCACTTTCCCTTCTATTGAATGATGCTTTGTGTGGACTACTTTGATTATATGGTAATAGTTTTCTCTTTTAAAACTTTGTTTTGATCCAGTGACGGCTCCACGCAAGCCCTTGGAACATGTTTACGAGACTTCCGCAACAAGCCCTATCCTGTCAGAGCCAAGATAGTATACTACAAAAAGACACTGACAGTAAGAGAAAAGACTATCTTTTATTCTTTGTATATATGTATATATATATATATATATGTGTATATGTGTGGAATTGATTATAGTTTTTGTACTTACCTTCCTCATCAGATCTTGATCAACAATGGATTCACTCCAGACAAAGAAGACTATGAGTTCTGCACTAAGGTGGACAACATGATCGTTCCTTCAGAGGGCTTCTTTGGCATTTCAGCTGCCACTGGTGGTCTGGCAGGTACTATAATATACCTTTCTTTAAATACCTTTACACTAAAAGAAACATCTTAATACAATTAGCATATTTTGATTTAATTTCAGCTGCCTTGTCTGTCTAAAGTTAATCTTAGATAAATCTGCTATTTTTGCATAGAAAACTTGTCGGCCAAAGTAATCGGCAGATTAATTAGAGAGCACTGACCTCTGGAAACTAAGAATTTACAGAGTCATTTTTCTGCTGTAGAATAATCTGCTTCAGCTCATTTTTTACACTCTTTAATGGCAATATTTTACCATAATTATGTTTGTGATATTACCAGATTATCGGTCCATATTGAACCACATATTATTGATCACACTGTAATGTAAGTTGTTTTAACATTCAAAGGTGTATGTTTTTGTTGCCTGTCATTTCTAATTCACAATTTCTTGCCTCCATCAGATGACCACGATGTTTTGTCCTTCTTGTTATTCAGACTCACTGAACCAGGCCAGCAACCGGTAACTACATCTCTCGTGAATTTCTAATAGCTCAACCCCCTTTTGTGCTGTGTGATTCTTTATTTCTCTGTAGTTGTGTAGTTGTCTGGATGTGCACCACATAACCCAAGCACAGCCTCTATTGAGTTCACTGAGGCTTTTTTTTTTTCTCCCTGTTCGTCATTCTCATTGAAGCCCCCAGTTGATTCTGAAATTCCTAAAGAGGAGAAGGACAAGTACCAGGAGGAATTTCAAAACTTCCAGCAAGAGCTTGATAAAAAGAAAGAGGAGTTCCAGAAGGAGCACCCAAATGTCCAAGGAGAGCCAAGTTAGTTTTTTTAAAGCGTAAAATCACACAGAATCACACACTTTTCTGTTTTAAACGATCTGATGATCAACCATGAAAAATAAACTAAATCATCTGTAAAAAAAGAAAAAAAAAAGAAAACAAAGACCCCTGATTCCCAGGCCAAAAACTGTTGCGTTTCTGATTTTTCTTGAATATTTGTGTCTTCTTTAGTTGATGATTTGTATGAAAGTGTGAATGACCGGGAGATCCGTCAAGTGTTTGAAGGCCAGAACCGCATCCACCTGGAAATAAAACAGCTTAACCGGCAGCTGGCTATGATCCTGGACGAGCAGCGGCGGTATGTCTCAGTTCTCACGGACGAGGTTGCCAAGAAAGCGGCGACTGCAGGATCAGGACAGGTGAGCTGGTTATCTGACGCACTGCCTCACAAAAAGCTAAGAAAGTTGGCATTTGGTTTCTGAATAATTTCATACCGAGTTCCACACAGCGGCGTTTTGTCTCACTGTGACCCTGCACGGCTCTCTTAGGTGGACCCGGCAGCCAGCCAGCAGCTGGGCTCCATCGTAGCCACGCAGCAGGAGGTCCTCAGGAACCTGAACGAGCTGAGGTGAGTAGCAACAATGCTGCAGGACACGCCTGCGTGTTCTGGGAAAGTAGTTGTTTTTACAACAAGCATTAATAAACAGCCTTGATACCCAAGAAAAACAAGTGAAATCCTGTCTATAAGTCTCCTAAATCATATTTAATCTCTGGATGTAAGGGCTCTGACAGCTCAGGTGTCTGACAGTCTAATAATCCAGCTGCTGCGGCAACCTCGTCTGAAGTCAGTCTGCAGCTCTGTGACACGCAGATGTTTTGAGATGATCATCACACTGACTTTCTATAAAATTAAAAAGTTTACTACCTATATTATCGGTCATGGTAGATTTTCTTTACACCGCCAGTGAGAGCAAGGAAAGAAATGGTTCCAACTTCCTCCAAATCCTGCATCCCCTAACACTTACACATTATGTCGAGGTCAGAGGTCTCGCATAATAAACATCCATTTTAAAAGTGTATGTTCGCATAGAACCAGTACATTCATCGAGCATAAATGAGTGAATAAATATTTTTGTTGGGAGGTGGTTTTCAAGAGACAGTAGATTCTGGAAAATGTGTACATTGAGCCTTAAATGTTCATCGAAAAAGTGGACCCCTGACAAATGTTTAGTGGTAAGAATGACCAAAAAATGACCAAGTAAAAGATGTGTTTTATCTCAGACTGACCAGGATATCTCAGGGGTCACTTCGTTCCTTCTATCTTCAGGCAGGCAAACCTCTGAATTTAAACATGCAAGTATTTCCCCCCGAAAAATAAGAGTCAGCTAAATATGTTGTTGTCATGAACAAGATTTGCGTCATTGCTGTGTCAAACTGCAATTACTGCAGGATGGATATAGTCACATTGAGCTGTAATCATCTTCTTAAACAGAAAAAAATCGTTTCCTCACTCGCTTTCAAAAATGAGAGAATGCACAGATATTTGATGCTGAGATAATACAGCTTAAGAGATTTCATTGTGGTGTGCCTTCCGAGGCAAAGTCTCAGATGCCTGGTTGATTTGAGTACTTACAGTAAGTAAGCCTGATTGAGCGTATACAAAGTAATTTTGACGGTTTAGAGCTTGTTTATTGACCAGGACATTTGCACTTTTGAATCTCTTTGCTCGAGTCTTAGGACTCGCAGCGGGCACGCAACAGATTTAAAAGAAGAAATCTTCATAACCTTGCTGTCAGATTAGCACGTGGATTTTCCTCAGGCCCCCAAATAGTTGACTTTTAAATCATCAGACTAGTGTTGTGACTGGTTCAGAACCTTTAGCTCATTAATTACCGGCCTTTAAAATGAGTCTTATTTGGTTTATTGTGTTTGAACAATTAGCTCTCTGATTGGATATACTGTTAATTGAATCTTCCCAGTAATGACAGTTGAGTGGGGGGCTGCTTTTTTGATTGTGTCTTAATTTTAATACACCATCTGCATAAAGACTTAATCACAAACACAAGATATTAAAGACTTTATTTTATGTAACATTAATCTCTAAGTCTCGTGTATCACAAGAGAACCAAGCGGTTTGGCCCAAATCCAACAGGACATCCATTCTTCCCTGATGTTTGCATACATGATTTTCTTTGTCTCACCGTTCGTCTAATTTATTTAATATACAAGGCTATGTATGCAAAGTTTTAGAGGAGAATGATGTCCTACAGGGACGACCCAAAGATGGAGAGCCCGTCAGGAATTAAATCTAACAAAGCATCAGAGGCAAAGAGGCAATTTCAAGATAAGGTAGCCCACACGAGTAAGCTGATTGACACAGTGAATACGTTCAGACACTGGCAAAAGGCTGCAGCCGCCCCCGCTAATGTGCTAATATGAGAAGCTGATCTGTATTACTTTGTTAGATTAAGTTCTCTGTTTATCCTGACCTATCTTTTGAACAGAGTTTATAACAGGACTTCATCTCAGACTCTCCAAACATACAAAGAAGGCTTTTTGCTCATAAATGGGTCACTTGTAGGAGATGAAGATTAGATGTAGGGTTTAATAAATGCTCACTTACTTTCTCAAGGGAGATTTTTTTTTTTCTCCTCTCCCGGTGAAACAAATTAGTTTTTGTTTATATGTCATCCCTGTCTCAGACTCTGGCCATGTGGCAAAGCAAGAAAAGGCCACATCTTAGCACCATTTTGTCCTTGTCAGATTAGTGGTCTTTAAATACATCTGTCATACCCGGGCAAAACATGGTTTTCCTCCAAATGATTTCCCATCGCAGTCCTCCCCTGGGGCTTCCGACTTACTACGCCGGAGTTCTGTTCATTTGTCAACTCACTTTTTCATTCGTAATCGCCTTAGATGTGTTTAAGACGATAAGGGAAACTTATTGCTTCCTCCCCACAATAATCAACTTTAAGAAATTTAATTTGGTTGAGAAATGTGATCCGGGCTTAGATGCCTTTATTCTCTTCTGAGATGTCCGACATTGTATTTGAACTGAAAGTGAACGTGGAGGTTTTTAAACTTTATGGTGAACCGGTGGAACAAAGCTGCAGCTGGTCCGGATTGCACATTTTTAGGAAGCAAAAAAATTAGGTTTTGCCAGGAAATCTTCCTCTTTTCTTTCTCTCTAAATAGGTTCTGTTCCTCTCAGAGTCAAACTGTTTTTTTTTATTTTTCAGAAAAGTAAATCGTGAGCTTTTGTATTTTGTCATGATGCTTTAAATGTATTATAAATGAAGTCATGCACAGAAGCATTAGCTGGAGAAAAATAGAGTTTTTTTATAATAAAGCTTATGTTATAGAAGACGCATTGTGGTAAACGTGTGTGTGAGCAGAGAAGGCATTAGAAATTGGCTAAAAGGAAGCATGTTCTGTCTTTAAATGGGCAAAATTTAGCTGAGAACATAATCAATTTGTTTGTTTGTTTGTTTGGTTGGTTTTTGTTTGGTTTTTATAGCCAAAATCACTTGTTGTCCAACAGTCACCCTCTGCCTGGGAACACAGTAGAAAGGCAAAAACTAAGCATATGAATATATTGTTATTATCTTATTATATAAAAACACCTTGTCTTGCTTAGAATTGGACACAACATCAGTGTTAAATTGTTATATACATTTAAACCGTCCAAACTGATTATTCTTCAGTATCATGGGTCGCATCTTACACGTTAGATAATCCAGACAGTTTTTGATCTGTTTGTTAACCTACTGTACTTGTAATCTGTTGTACGAACGTGATTTTTAAGGGATTAATTTAGATAACATGACCTCTTTTATCAGATGGAAATGTTCTGTTTTTTAAACTTTGAGAAAATGTAGCCTCCAGCGAATAGGGATTAAAAGATTAATAAGGGACAATATCTATTATTGGAAATGCTACCATACAGCATATTTAATGTGCATCAACCCACCCTACATTGTTTAACTCAACGTTCATTAAGGCTCTGGGAGGCCCATGAGTATTAACGCTGACTCTGCACCGCCTCAGTGATGGAGTCCCGTCTCTGTCTCCTCAGGAGCTCTTTCCACGAGTCACTGAAGCAGATTGGCTCTGCCCAGCCGCAGGCTAATGCAGGCGGCATGGGGACATACGAGACTATGCAGCACTTCAACGACATCAAAGAGCATCTGCACTTAGTGAAAAGAGACGTGGAGCACCTGGTCCAGCGTAATGTTCAGGTACAGATCGGTTTTCAGTCTCAGCTAGAGCGGGTCAGAAAATGGGTCGCTTTGTTTCTGTCTTTTAAATGTTTAATTATTCTCAAGCAAAATAAAGTATTTTCTTGTTCGTAAAGTGCTTGAAGGCTATTAACCCTTTAAAGTCTGATCCAAGAATAAAACAAAACAGAAAATGCCTTTTTTTTGTTTGAATTTCTTATTTGGCCTTTTAACAAAATATCTAAAAAGAAAAAACAAAAACAATTTTTCAATATTAATAATTTATTACTATGCGATAAGTCAAGTTTATTTATTATTTGTCTAGTCTTCTGCCCCCTGTTATCAGGTGTATCTGATTGTGTACAATAGGATTTTGAGCAAAGTTTTTACCATTAAATTATGCAAAAGGTGTCAGACGCAAAACATTTCAGAAACCGTATGTATCAAATATGATACATTTGGCATTACAGGGTTAAAAAAACAAAATACCATCCATCTAAATAAACGTCTAATCTTTTGCTCTCTTGTTTGCTGTTTCATTCAGAATCCTGCTGAGAAAGTTGTGAAGTGCCCCGAGGTGCCTCCCATGCCTTCCTGCTTATCTACTGTTCATTTTGCAATATTTGTAGTCATCCAGTCCGTGCTTTTCTTCTGCTACATCATGTACAAGTAAGAGAGTACTTCCCTTCAATGTTGGTGAAACACATTTGTACTTTGAAACAGATTTCTAACTCATGTTCTTCTCTTTGCAGAAGTCAACAAGAAGCAGCCGCAAAGAAGTTCTTTTGATGAAACAAGTGTGTACCTGAGGGAATGTCCTTTTTTTCGTAATTTACTTTTTCTTTTTCAATTTATTTCAGATTGTAAGTTATTGTACTTGAAAAATATTGGTTTTGTTGAATACGTTTTTTAATTGATAGATTTTTAATTTGATCAGTAAGATGTGTGTGAATGCTGGTGTGAGACCTGCTGTTCTGGATTTCCAACATGATGTAACATTATCCTTACAGTATTTCTGGTTGGTCAGAACCTTAGTTTATTTTCAAAAGCTGAAATCTGCCACCCTCCCATTACACGAGATAAAAAAAAAAGGAACCTGTGTTTTGAAACATGCAATTTTGTATAAAATACTGCAGATTGTTGTCTGACATGTCCTCTGCCTGAACAATTTACATAAACAGTTGACACAAATTACTCTGTGACCGCTCCTCATTTATTTATTTATCTCAGTGAAAGAAGCATCTTCAGTGCATGCAGAATGAATCCAATGCCGAGTAACTTGCCGTCTTTCATCAGCAAGCGCTTCATCATCAAACTGCTGCTTGATACTTTTTAGAGGACTTGCAGCATTCTGTAATTCTAATTTTTTTTAAACTGTTCAGTTGCCTAAATATAATGTTTCTATTACTTTTATTTCACTTTATATAGTTAGAAAAATAAACTAGTCATTTTTCCACTTGTGGGGATGAATGATAATTGAAATTAAACTGTAAAAAATTACTATATTTACACACATCTTTAACGCATTTCAGAGGTGCTCTGATGGAAAATTGTGGAGTTTCTCAGGACATTGTAGAGAATTTCAACTGATTAAAAACTATATATATATTTTGAATCACCTGCTCTTTATTGATAATACCACCTGTATTACTTCATCGTTTTAGTATGCACAACTTCCCTTCTGAAAAGGAATTAACAACAGGCTATGACCAAAGTAAGGCCCATCTACAACTGTATTCCTCGTATTATAAATTATATCTGAAGAGGCATTCTTCATGCAGTAGATTATGTCTGTTTAATTCTAGCCCTCATATTTCCCTCTAACCAGCCAAATGGTTTTAATAAATGCAACAACAAAAAGCATCTGATTGTGTAATAAAATAAAAAGATAATATGGTATACCCTGGTGCTTATGTAAAAAAGAGTAATCTGATTTATTGAAGAAATACACGCATTAACTGTCCTCCTGAATTCCAAAATATTTCTTAAACGTTTGATTTCTCTCATATAATCGATTGGATTGTCGATTATTGTGGTGCAGTGAGGTGTGTGTTCTTCCCGTGTGTCACGCTTCAGTCCACCATGCCCCCACTGAACAATAGTGCTGCATGAAGGATGGCCTCGTCGGGATAAACAGGACCATAATCCCACTCCTCTCTCTCCTCTCTGTGGAAGCCGCACATGGGGCGGCCTGTACTTCACTAATATGATTAAGCAGCAGTGGGCGGAAACAAAACAGCCTGAATGGCGGTAAAAAGAAAAGTGAGGACAACCACCCCCAAAATGCTTTTCTTGACGGCAAAGTTTGCCCAAGAACGCTCAAAGTGTTTCGAATTATTCAAAGAAACACACAAATGTTTCCATGATTTATAGATAAATAAATAAAAAAACAGGCCATCTGCCTCTTAGTATACTAGAGCAGGGAGGATTAAATCCAGATTATGCCCGAGGCAAAACGTGTGTGTGTATTTGCGTGTGTGTGTCTGTTACTTGTCGTCAGTGTGTCCTTGACTCCATAGACAAGCGGCAGGTTAGCTAGAGAGTTATCACTGGATTTGACAGCTACAGGGAGCCGAAGCGAAGGGGACGAAAAAAAAAAGGGGAAGCGGTGTCGTTTTTTTTATTCACAAAAGCATCCTCGTCCTCGCAGAGCAAACTCTCGCAAAACAACTCGAGATGGCTTTCTTGATCAAGAGCATGATTGGGAACCCCCTGTCAGGAATAGGTCTCGGTGGTGGAGGTGACAAGGAAGAAGAGGCCACCCCTTCAGATCCGGCCAAAGCAGCGGGGATGACGCGCGAGGAGTATGAAGAGTACCAGAAACAGGTGGTGGAGGAAAAGTAAGTAAGAAGGAGGGCATGTTGAGTCGATGCCGCCGGCCCAGTATGGCAGCAGTGTGCAAATCTGACCTTGACGTGCTGTTTCAGCACATCCTTTCCCTCTTTTTACCGTCCCCTCTCTATCCCAACAAGCAACTTTATTTTTTCTTTTTGAATTTTTCCAATCACTCACCTCACGGTGTTGGTGAGGAAACGGTGAGCTGGGATGCATGTGTTGCTGAAGGTCACAGCAGAGGCGTCAGAGTGCATCGTTTCTTTTTTTTTTCTTCACTTTTATACACATAATGTTCCCATCAGGCTAGAAATAATGTTTGTCCTTGAACAATAATCTCATATAATCTGTCATCTCTGCCTGCACTTTGAAGAACGACTGTTTGTATATTTTGAGACACTCTAGTCTGAGTAGAAAAAAAATAATATAAATGTTTCATTTAAATGTTCATATTTAGAATATTGGGGTGCATATGAACATTTAGTTTGCTTAAACTGTTTTGAAGAGGCCACATGATTAGGCTGCTATAGTTTTCTCTTACATTTAATACTTGTGTATCAGTTCAAAATTCACCTAATTCTATATTTGTTTTTTCAATATGATAAACATGTATTTGCTGGGCTTTTAAAAAAAAAAGTATATATAAGAGTATAAGAGTATATTCTGTGGCAAAAGGCCGATTCATTCAGTCTGCATTACATAACCAGATTAATGCAGCCTCTCCACTCCCACGTTTTGGGCTCAATTTGTTTGTTTAGACCACATAAAACCAAAGCTGAACTTCACTATTCAGTCCAGAAACAAGATGTGTTCAATGTCACTTAACAAAATGACCACGAAAGATAATACAGTGTGGCTCTCTGAAAAGCTCAAATAAAACAAATTGGGGATGTTGTAATTCTGTAATTGAAACCACATAACATTTTAGCGTGTGCATGTACACTGTTGAGAACTCCTCTGGGAACCCTGGTGTTGTTGTTTCACTGCAGTTGAAGTTGTGGTGTATTGGCTTAATTTAAAACCTACTTGACTCAGTCTGAGCTACTAATCCCATCTTTAATTGGCTGAGTGAAAGTGCATGGGAGGGGTGTCGAGAATATAGGAGAGGCTTTTAAAACAGTGGCAAGACTCACATCAGGTGAACTCTTACGTAGAGTCATCATCCAAAGTTAATGATGTATTAATCTGTCGTGTTTAATTTGTAAATGGTCGATGCAATAAAGAAAATCTGAAAATTGAAAGAGTTAATTTGCTTTTAAATGCTTTCATCAGAAAACAAGATGGGTTTAAAGACACCTCAATGTTTAAACTCTGGAAGCTTGGGATCAGACTGTAATTCTCTAGGCAGAAGAACAATAATTTAGCTTTTTTTATAACTGTAACTTTCCAAGGTCTATCAACAACTCTACTGTGACTGAAATTCCTAGACCTCCTAGTTAGATGTTGCATTTCTAAGGAAATTGGATCTTTTTGATAAGGTGCAAAAGAACTCAGTGGAAAGAAATGTTTTCAATTTTTTTAAGCCATTACAGAATAACTTGTGTCAAAAACTCAAATCAGTCAATTGGCAGGCTATAAATGTTTGAATTAAGAGATGTAAAGAGAAAATATCAATGTAATGAAACTCTTTCAAGGACAGGTCCCATTAACTTGTATGATGGGAACATCTTTGTGGACATGTATGGACCTGATTCAAAATGTAGTTTTATCTGATTTTCTAATTATGATTTTTCACTTTTCTTCTTTCCAGAATGGAGAGAGACGCAGATTTCCTACATAAAAAGGCAGAGAGAGCGACACTCAGGGTGTGCCTGAGGGACAAATACAGACTGCCAAAGGTAAACCCTTCAAAGTTTGAAGCACTGTCTCTGCACGGAAACTTTTACCTCAAAAGATCATGTGATTCTGCATGTCATAAATCTCATGATAGGAAAATGAGAGAGTCCCACCAAATGAATTTGCACGACCACACATACATACTAAAACAGTCTTATTGTCTAAACTCTTTAACCATAAGAGCTCACTAAAGGAATACACTTGTTGACAAATCCTTTACTGAACACTTATATCTGCCTACCACTACAATATAGTATCTGATTAATCATTAAGCAAGTGTTTGTTGATACAATATTCCTCTAATTGTGAACTGTTTATTTGTGAAGAGATTTTCAATCACATGATTTCAATGGATAAACGAAACCAAGAGTGATTATGAATAACATTGTCGTATAGAACAGTGACAGGAAAATAGTTGAATTTGATCTTAAACTCGTGCCTGTGTGGGCAGAAGCTGCTCCACTCTAACAGCAGCCTCTGCCATCTGAAGCTTGGAAAACAGGAAGTGGCAACTGTACTGGAGATTAGTGAGAAAGACAATCTACCGAGGTTTACAAGACGTCAGCCTCCATGTCCCATATTGCACCTTGAGACTTAGAAAGCCGAATGCCAGAGAGCAGGTGTTCCAGGCTCATTAGGCACAAACAGGCAGAGTGAACTGGATTCTAGAAACCGCAACATTTCCTAAAGTGGATCCAACCAGAGCAGTTCCAGGATTTCAAAAGACCCTTGACTGGATAATAAACTGTAATGGAAGGAGCAAACAAGGTATGTAGGAATTGAATTGAAGACATTTAAACACAACAACCTCTGGCTTTAACTAAGAATGGACCAAAGTTGTTCTTCAGCACAAAAGGTTAAAGCTCGATGATGACCTCGGCTTGTGGATTAATCTCTTTATAACACTCTTTATCAAATGACAGGGTATTTTTGAGTGTTGTGGGTTGATTTCCTTTGCAAGTACTTTTTTAAACTAACACCACACAAATATGCTGAGTTGGAGGCATGAATGTATGCAGAATGTATAACTATATTGTCTAAAAGATGATTACATTGCTCACCAGTCTGAATATGCATTTTAAATAGATTTTTAGAAAAGACAATACATTAATAAGGACTTTTCTGGCTTCTGCTGTTTTAAGATGTGTGGTTGAGAGTGAACATACTTTAGATTGGTGTGAATCGGTATATTTAATAACGGAAACATCCAGCATGAGAAGCAGGAAGTCATTGCTGTTCATCTAATGGAATTACGGTCTCGTGCAACTGTAGAGAAGATCTATCTTTAGATTATGGTTGGGACTCTGAGAAGACAGGCTAAACCAGGTCTGAGATAATCCCACAGATTGAACTTTAAAGTAGTCACAGCACAGTGCCTACTGGGCGACTATTTCAGATATTAAGTGATAAGATTTATCTTTTTGAAAAGACTTCGAAAAACAACAAAACACCAATGCAACAACACGTAACGCATAACAGTATGGATATGGGGGTAAACAAGTCTGTTTGACAAAAATATAGCAAACACAGACAACAGGGATATCCTCAAGCGCAGGCACTTGAATGTGGATTAACACAGATCAGAGTCATTGCCTTGTTTGGAAGGCTGTTTGCTAGTTATTTAAAACCAGGACAGCCAATCAATGCAGTGTCAATGCGGTTAAAGTGTCAAAATCTATCAATCCAAAGTTGATCCAATGTTTCTTTATTTTAGTGATGAGTTTTCTGTCAAGCTAAAGACTTTTTTTCAGTTTGTTGGACTGGAGGCCAGTACTGTGCGTGACTGTGTGATATTCCTGTGAACAGTCACAACCGTAGTTTGTTTACCTTTTCAGTTCTGTGCAGTTGACCAAAACTAGCGTTCCACATGGTTGAAGAGATGCTGCTTCAAGCAAATTTTGAATGAACTTCTCTTAAAGTTTATTTCACGCAGATCTTCCTATTCTACCCAATAAAAGCTATTCAACTCATTGTTAAACAAAACTGATTTCCACCTAAACAAAGCTTTTGAAAACACAGAAATTGCTTCTTCTTCTTTTAGATTTACAGAGATAAATATAAAAGATTTCCTTGATACTTAATTGGCAGATTCTTTTGTTCTTGTTGATGTCAGAAATCAGATTTACAGTGTCCCCTTCCCCTTTGCTGACGTGCGCAGAGCGAGCAGGATGAGAACATGATCGAGATGGCCGGGGACGACGTGGACGTTCCCGAGGAGCTGCTCAAGATGGTGGACGAGGATGCCACTGAAGAGGAGGGCAAGGATTCCCTCATGGGCCAGTTTCAAAACTTGCAGAGCATGGACATGGACCAGCTGAAGGAGAAGGCCTCAGCCACCGTCACCGAGCTCAAGAGCAAAGCAGAGGAGAAGTGCTCCGTCATGTGAATGACCAAGGAGTGTGTCTGAATAAATGCAGTGGAAAAAAGAGAGGAGTGACAGGATTATAAATGATAATGGTAATGATACTTTCACCACTTTTTGGGAAACTGAAGACCAAGTTTGTTTTATACTCTGTGATTGAGTCACATTGTAGAAAGGCCAGCTAAAAATTCACTTTTACAGAAATACAAATTACTTACATGTCATAAAAAGCCACACCTGTGTGTTTTATTAGTAGCATTTACAAAAGAATTTAACGTAAAAGTGTCCCTGTAACCTCAATATTGCATGGGCAATGAATGGCCCATTGAATGAAAATACACTTTTCCCCAAATACTGTGATGTAACGTTCACTCGTTTTCTTTGTTTGTCATGAAATGAGACTTTTTAGTCTCTACAAGTGTGTTTTTCAGACAGAACAATAAAAATACACGACACTCTCTGATAAAAGACAAATCCTATCTGAGTATCATTACTTTCCTTTTGTATGTGGTGTTTGAATTAAATATGTTATGTAGTTTATCTCTTTTGGTGTTTCAGCAAAGCGACTAATCATCATAACTTTTGTCATATATATCTCAAGTGTGTTAAGAAATGAGCTTGAAAGGTTTGCAGAAATATTTGCAATTTTGCACAAATTCTAACACATTGTCCACGAGCATTTGCAAAAAAACACAGAGGTACTTGACACTCAGAACCCAAATGTAACATTTAAAATAAAAATGTATATTGAATAAGAAAATGCTTCCTTTTTCGTCGATTTCTATTTCCTCAAGTCTCAGACATGTACAGTTTTTACACAAAATCACTACTTCCGATAATCCTTCATGTTTTTCAGAAAAGGTGTCATTAAATCTTTAAATTTATCCAGTTAATTTTATGTTTGAAGTTTTCTAATCCAAGTCCATGGTGACTTTAGCAGATTGTACAGAAACGCATCGAATCTTTGTCATCAGTTTGCCACAAGTAATCCTATTTCCCGGAATCAGGGATAATGCAGTGAAAAAGGAATGGGTCTTAATTTAATTGGGCATTATCCAAACAGTTAGTGATGATGAGGGGTTGCTGAAGAGCGACAACGTTCAGAGTTTCACATGAGCCCAAGTTTGAACGGCTGTGGATTTGTGAAGTCTGGAGATTACATCTAATAGGATCAACACAGCCAAGGTTGTCAGCCTGTGCCCTCTGTCTCTCCCTCTGTCGCTGCCTTTTTCCTCATAATCTTTGAGTGTTAAGACACAGTACAAAAATGACATGAGCTTTTACATATTTGTTTCAGTAAAAAAAAAAAAACTCAAATTCTAAGTATTTCAGTGATTTCGGTGGATAACCAAAACCTTTCAAAGAATTTTTAAACTGGCATGGAAAAGAATATTTGAATATCTGCAACATGAACGAATACAAATTTAACTGACTTTTAAATATTTGATAAACAAGCTGGCACATCAGTAAGTTGAGATTACTTTTACCAACTATAAAAGTATGAAACTCCATTTATTTTTTTCCTCCCGCACTTTTCCTGACAAGGTTTCTTATATTACAGGTTTCAGTTTTTACATTTATACAATTAAAATTTGTGTTTTACTCTTGGATGGAGAACTCTCTTTCTAATTCTCAATACTGGAGTATTACTAAAACATTTCTTGATAGACATTCCTACACAGGAAGAAAACAAAATTTCCAATTATTAAGTTAGTTTATATAAGATATGTATATACATATACACATATATATATCAATAGAAGACATATATGTAACTCTCCAACTATTACCGCATATTCCCCATGAGTGACTATGATCTTACTAAACAATCCAAGGTTGAAATAAAAGCCTGTCCACATTGTCTTCTTTATTGATTTAATTTAGATATTATTTAAACTGAAAAATAAAAGTCTAAATAGTTTCAAATTAATCATTTGTATTTGTTTGTGCATTAGTAGTGACAATGGAGTGTACTATATTACATTGTGTTCTAGGTGTTGTAGTACAATCTATGTAAGAGTTTGACTAACATAAATTCCATCTTAACAGTAAAAACAGAATGAGGTTAGACTTAAAGAAATGATTTAAATTCTCCAATGAACAACGTGAACCATGTTTAACAAAAGTGACTGACAAACAGAAACGTGTCAGAAACCCATTTTGCAACAGGATTTCTCACATTTAGATGGAACTGTTTCAATTATGTTTTCCTCTTCTGTGCACTTCTGTCAGGTTTTGTAGTAGTTATTGTGAAAAGGAGCACTAGGTGTTGCCACAAGAAAACACAAGAAAAAAGGTCTGCACCTTCTGAATGCTTTGCAGCAGTTTTCGGTGGCTCTGAAGACAGTGCTCATTTTGCATCTCGCTATCTCTGTGAGACCCGCCCTTCTTTTACTGCAAGCAGAGGTCAACTTCTTTAATTAGGAAAAGCTAAATAGTTTTAGGGGTTTTAACTCTTTTGAGTAAAATAATGTAATCCCCTTAAGAAGGATTACCACACTGCTGTCAGTCTTTATTTGCTGTTAAGTGGCTATAGTCTCAAATTGTTATTGTTTGTGCTTGCTCACCCTGTTTGACTCAGCACCTACTGATCAGGTTTTTTTTTCCTTAGAAAAAAAAGGAAAGAACATATGTGTAAAACGGTAGAAACATGATTTAATTTAGTTTAATGCAGCCTTTCAAGAATTCAAGTGTCTTTGATTCAACATGTGTCAGTGGGTGCCTAATCTTTGCCTCGGATCAATAGAACAAACACTTCTTCAAATGTAAAGTCCACTCATTTTTGGCAACAATATCTTGACGACTTGATTAAATATTAAGCTGTCATCTTGCAATCTCTGTCCTCGCCAGAAATCTTGTAATTATGATTTTGTTGTACCTTAATCTGTGCGCCTAATCTCGCCCCTTTTTCACTGACTGACATGAACATGACATCTGGAGGAGTGGAAAGATGGTTTTAAGATTTATGTAAGTGGGTTTAGAGCCAGCTCTGGCCTGGTGCACTTGGGATGGGGAGGAGCTAGGGGACGGGTGTGGAGGCTGGTGTTTGCGGAGGCGCAGTTACCCTAAATTCAGACCCAATCCAACGGGACGTCCCCTCCGTGACGTGGGCCAGGGAGGGGGTCCAGCATTAGCAGGGGGGGGGGTCTTACAGGGGGCACCACTTTAAAAGCCAACTGCGAAGATGCTCCAGAACCACTGAGCGGGACAGGAGTGCGTATCTTGCGCGCAAGTTTGCCCAAAACTCTTTGCACTTGAGCGAAAGGCAAAAAGCCAAAAGCGAGAAAAAAACAACGCAAAATCATTCGGAACGACTTTATTCTGTCACTTTTTTTTCCCCCCACGGGACCTTACTATCAAATGTGGCTTCTTGGTTCAAGTTCTCAGGTGATGATGACGGATGAGCGCCTGTCTCCCTCCGCGCGCTGCGTCCAGAGCCCGGGCAGCACCGCGGCCACGGTCCACAGCATCGAGGCCATATTGGGATTTAAGGAGGACACCATCTTCCACAAATCAGCCTCCTACGGCGTGACAGAAAAAGTTCTGGTCAAGGACGCGCCGCGGACCGGGAACGTGGTTGTGACCCAAGTGAAGAAGGGCCACTTCTCTGATAGTTGTGACAGTAAGTTTCCCCTTTGATGCATCTTTTAGAATAAAGTCAGCTAGTTTAAATTAAGATTTATTTTTTTAAATAGAAGAAAAAACGATTTTATTACATGCAAAAGTGAAGTTTATGGATTTTTAAGTATCGTCACTGCTCATATTTTCTGATATATATTATTTTCTAACACACAATTTAATAACAAGCCAATTTGGAGCCAACTGAGAGGAGAAAATAGTTATTTGAAGCAGAATTGGCTTTGCAGAATCTGTTAGGGTTGGAGTTTTTAGGCTTGTTCCGCCTTTCCCCTGACGCCTGCTCTCTGTCCGGCAGGTGCGTGTTGCGGCGGCAGCGCAGGTGAAGCGTCCGTGTGTCCGGACTCTCCGGACAGAGACGGAAAGCTGTCGGACGACGAGAGCCAAAAGAAGAAGCACCGGCGGAACAGGACCACCTTCACCACCTTCCAGCTGCACGAGCTGGAGCGAGCTTTCGAGAAGTCCCACTATCCGGACGTTTACAGCAGAGAGGAGCTGGCCCTGAAGGTCAACCTGCCGGAGGTCCGAGTACAGGTGAGCCATGAGCCATGACCCAACGTCCAGCGTGGCCGAAATGACGATGCTCACATTCAGACCGGAAATCAAGCACAAAAAGAAAATTAGAACTACAAAATTAGAACTACAAAATTTGAACTAGAAAATTTGAACTACAAAATTTGAACTATCTATCTATCTATCTATCTATCTATCTATCTATCTATCTATCTATCTATTCAAATGTAAATACATATCTTGAATTAAAGGTTTTTTTTTTCAAAGAAAGGAAGAGTACAGGTTTGTTACAATTACTTTTCAAATTACTCATGGACTTCTCCTCTTTCTCTTCAGGTGTGGTTCCAAAACCGGAGGGCCAAGTGGCGTCGTCAGGAGAAGCTGGAGGTGAGCTCCATCAAGCTGCAGGACAGCCCCTCCGCCTCGCTGCTGTCCTTCAGCCGCTCGCCCCCCGGCTCCCTGGGCTCCGGCCTGCAGCTGGACCCCTGGCTGTCCAGCCCCATCACCAGCTCCGCCTCGCTGCAGTCCCTGCCCGGCTTCATGGGCGGCGCGCAGAGCTTCCCGGGGGGCTCTTACACGGCCTCCCCGCCCCCGTCCATGCCCTCCAACCTGTCGGCCTCCCTGTTCAGCTCCTCCGTCCCGGGACTCGGCCCTCACCTGCACCCCATCGCCTCCATGTGCCCCCCCACCCCCGTTTACCAGTGCTCGGCCGACCCCAGGAACTCCAGTATTGCCTCACTGAGGATGAAGGCCAAGGAACACATTCAGTCAATCGGGAAAACGTGGTGATACGGAGGGGAAGTTTTTTAAATGGACACCGAGACGCAAAATTCACTGTTGACTTTTTGGAAAATATTTGATCCTTCTGAATATGGGACCACAACACTTTGGGATTTCTAAAGAGCCAGAACTCCATTTACCTACAGGATGTAAGAGTTGTTCACCATCTATACAAGATATCCTGAAAAGCTTTAACACAAGCTGTGAAGTAATTATTGAATTCTTACAAATGATTGTGTTCTGCTATTTCTATTCTCCTTTATTATCTTAGTAAATTGTTTTATTCTGAACTTTTATATTCTGCCAGACCTGTCCTATTCTTATACCTCAGATCAGATTCATGTTCATAAAAAGTGTAACAAATGTCAGTATTTTCTCCAAAGAATAAACTTCACATTTACAAATGTATTGTTTCTGTAATTTTCCTAAAACAATTTGGCACTTTTGTGGCAGAATGTTTGCCTGTGATACCAGACTCAATTAAAAATGCCTACTTCACAAATAACTGTGATATGAGAGGAAATCCACGACAGCATAACATCCAAAGCTGCTGTTCATCTAAGCGGAGCACATTTGTGTGAAATTATTAACTTCACAGGCCTTTTTTTAAAGTAAGATGGACACGTCTTGAGCTCAGCCCATTTAGAAACAGGAAATACTAAAAATAGTACCATCTAGTGGTGAATTACTCTCTGACCAAAACAAAATATGACTACTAGAAATAAACTTTGATAAAGTTGTTTTCAAAATTGTGTTTTTTTCATAATCAATTTGTGATAATTGTATTTAACCGGACCTTAAAAGTTTAGTAACTACGAAAGTCTGAACTCATATCAATCATTTACTAGATACCAGCATTGTAGACGTCGTTGACGTGTTTTACGGAAGGGATTTAAACTCCTGGGCATCCTCTATCTGTTTTAGAGAGTCTCTCACCCCACTTGTTTCCTCCTCATTAACTCCTACAAAGCGTATCCCATTCGCTCCACGGATTAGACTCCTAATGGGGGGTGGAAGTGGCTTGCTCTGCCATTGTTCACCAATCATCCGTGACAAATAAGTAAAGAGGAGTAGAATGATTTTTTTCCCCCTTTGGCTTAAGAGAAAGATATGTTTAACCAAACTGTTCAATTAGCATCTTCTATTGTCTGCTAGTGTCCACTGGGAGTCAGAAATAGTTTGTGGCATCATCCATACAACTGACCTCAATAGCGAAACTCCTGGCCTGTGTTTGTTTATTTGTGCGATACTTTTTCTCCCATGAGAAAAGCCGAACTACAACCTGCTCTCATGACCTCTTTTCATATGAAATCGTGGTCATGTTTACATTTTGAGCTCATTCTCACATGGAAGTTACTCTGAATGAAATAAAAGCATCAGATGCTCTGTAAAGTGACACTCTACACCATCTTGTGGTAAAAACTGGATACTGCACATATGGAGAGAGCAGTGGGGAGAGTGACCTATCTTTTGAGGTGACCCCTCCCATTAGCAAAAAAAAAAATGTTCATTTATAGTTATTCTCTCTGGTCACATCAGTGGATCCAAACAATGGCAACAAATGTTCTCCGACATCATAACCGATCCCCCCCTTCTGTCGGCCCACAGTGTTCCAGATTTCCATTACATCCTGCAAAGCAATAAATGTGTGGAAAAAGTCAATAGAATGCAATTTTAAATGTGCAAATCATTATTTGACATCCACAATGCAGTTATCACGTTATTATGTTTATTTCAGTCCCTCAAGTTTTGTAACACAACTTTGCCAGCCTCGTCAGATACACACCCTGTCAGCCATCGACACATTGTGCGGTAAACATGTAGAAATCTGAGAGAGCTGAAATGTATACATTTGTCACGTTTCCAGTGCTTACTCAGAAACTTTACATTAGTGTTCATACGTAATTACAGAGAAGAGAATACCGGTGGCTGTCTGACACGGTTTGTCGTGCATTCAGGAGGAGTCACTGTCCTTCAGTTTCAAAGCCAGATGAAGCAGGTCTGACAGCTACAAAACAGTGATGAGATGGGGGAAAAAATGTCACACAAATTTTTTTGGAAGACTTTCATGCTCACATATTGACGGCGGTTAGCTCTGCAGACTGACCTCTCGGTGATATTCATCTCTGCCCTCTTCTCTCCGGCCACTGTGGAGCCGAGGCAGCCTGTGGGGCACCCTCTGTTTGGGCTTCTTTGGTTGCAGAGCTACAGTAGGTTGCTTATTTTGGTCAAGCTTATAGATCTGGACTGGCTCTGAAGGTGTGAGGTAGTCCCTGCCAAGGTTTGCCTCCTGCAGTGTAGGTTGTTTATGAATGCTCTTCTTTCCCATTAAATGACCTGGAAAATAAGAAATGACCAATTATGAGCTGCTGCGTAACAATTGATTGTTTTCCAATAACTTTTCATCCAATTTTCATGGGTCCTTGGTAAATAATTCAGTGTATTTAGAGTCGAATGAGCAAATTTAGTTGAAACCTTTTCTACTTTTGTGTACTTTTCTGTTTAAAATGTAACAACTTTTCTTTTGGGGTGCTGACAAGCACCAACAGAGATTAAAATTACATATTGTCTGTGGGGGTTTACAGAAAAATAAAATGATCAGTTCAATTAAACAATTCTGGGAAGAAAACAATGCTGGACCTCACTTAGTCCGTATAGGATTTACTGCATATTACCAGCATATAACAAGAGAAATACATCATTATTCAAACTTAACATTTTTCTTTCATTCAAACGTTATTTTCCTTACCTACTGCCCAGTGATTTCCGCGTGGATACATTTTTCCAACGACTGTGGCTGGACTCTCTGAGCACTGAGAGAAACAGGGCATTGCAGCCAGAAAAATCAAAACTGGCCACAGCGGTCTGCAAGTCCACGAATAACACACACACACAGCGCGCATTCTGCAAGACAGCCTCAGATCTAGAGTTTGCGTATTAATCCTTAAGTTGCAGTCACTCAGCTTGATTATACTTTAAAAAACCTCCAGCATTTTCATGCCGCTCGAACAGAGGTGGAGGAGCAGGAGTCCGGCTGCAGACTTGCTGAAGTTACGCTCCCGAAGCCTTTCATACAAATGACTAATGTTCAAAGTTAAGTGCCCCTCCTGCTCCAGCTGTACGTCAGAGGCTTATTTTTCAAAAGTGCCACGGAGCTGGTGATGATGGCGACAAATGGTCATTTGGAGTCTGTAATTAGTGAGCGCTGTTGTTTGCCCTGATATTTCTGTCTGACTGCGGGAGGTGTCCGCGTCATTGCGCACTGATGGAACTTGTGGGTTTCCGTCTCAACAAAGCACCAGGGGGAGTGAGGCCAGTGGTCATTTACAAAGATCCCCTTCAGTAGATTTAAAATCGAATGGAAAAAACACGCAAATGACACGATTAAAAAAACAAAAGTTTGCTGAAGTTTGTCAGAGAGCATTTGGATTATCCAGATGGGGATTGGGAGAATATCATGTGGTTAGATGAAACCAAAACAGAACCTGTTGGTACAAACACTTTCCCTGTGTTTTGTGGGGAAAAGAGTTGCATCCCAAGAACGCCATAACTACTGTGAAGCATGGGGGTGGAAACATCATGCTTCTGGGCTGTTTTTCTGCAAAGGGGACAGGGCACCTGATTCCTGTTTAGGGAAGAATGAATGGGGCCGTGTAATGTGGGATGAAGAGGGAACATGGCTGGGTCTTAAAGCATGACAATGATCCCAAACACACTGCTAGCGAAATGATGGAGTGGCTCAGTAAAAAGTATTTCAAGGTCCTGGAGTGGTAAGCCATTCTCCAGACCTCAACCCCACAGAAGATTTGTGGAGGGAGTTGAAAGCCTGTGTTGCCCGGCGACAGCCCCAAAACATCACTGCTCCGTATGGAGGAATGGGCCAAAACGCCAGCTACAATGTGTGCAAACCCGATGAAGACTTACAGGAAACGCTGGACCTCTGTCACTGCCAAACAAAGGTTATGTTACAAAGCATTGAGTTGATCTTTTCTTAATGACACAATATTTCATTTGCACCATAATTCACCGATTCATTCTTTAAAAATCCCACAAAGTGAAATCTTAGATTTAAAAACAAAGTTTCTCATTTGGCTTCTCATTGTTGAGAGTGTGTGTGTGTGTGTGTGTGTATATGTCTACATGTAGCTCATGTGACATTACCGTTATCATTACTCATTGCCCCCCTTTTCTTAGCCTCTCCACCCCCAGCTGGTGGAGACAGATGGCTTTCCCTTTATGCTATCACATCCCGTATGCTCAGATCAGCACATTAGACAGAGGAGAATATTTGACATGATCAAGGCCCCATTTTTAGCTTTGCAACTTTTTGTGAGGTCACAAAAATGTAGTGTCTTCTTAAACAACTTGAGAATGATGTCTGCTCTAACGTGAAAACAATGCTCTGAGTCATATTTCTCCACCTTCATCTTGCAGGGGCAGTACTTTATAAATCTCTCATAAGTCACATTAAGGCTCACAAGTAAGCCATGGGACTGTGACATTTTGAAGACCTGTAGACTCAAACGTGGCACCCCCATAGTGGCGTGAACTGATTTTCACAAATAGATCAATAGAATGGAACTGAGAATCTTTATTAAAAAATAAAAATCTTGAACTGCATTAATTTAATGCTTTTTGATATTATCTATCCATGTGAGACCACACACAGAACATTGTAAACAAGATGCACAGCCGAAAAGGAAACTTTCATAAATGCCTCTGTTGTTTGATGTCACCTTTTATGGGCTCAGTTACAAGAGTTTAACGAAGGACGTGTTCAGGCTTGGGATGCATACTTCAAATAATTTCCAAAGATAGTTTATTATAGAGTATTTGTGCCCCTGGAAAGGTCAAAATTGTGACTTAAGCAGTCCTCATTCACAGCGAGGTACCCACGCATGAGTGCATGTCAAATTCTCATACTTCACTGATCTCCTTCATTACTGCCATTCAGATTGCGGGAGACAAAGCAAATAGATGAGGACAGATAAGGAGTCCACACAGGTAAGTAACATTTTGTGTTGAAAAGGTTGAGGGTGTCCTCTGGGTATTGTCAGGTCACAACCCCACACACATCCCCGCAGGATATTAGAGTGTATATATGGCTCGAAACATATCCCATCCTCGTCCAGGGATGACCTTAACGAAACTGGATGAGTCACCTATGTTCAAAGGGCAGCAACAGGTAGAAGGCACAGCACTGTGCCATCTGAAATGTTTGTTTTTTTTGCTTTTTTATGAGAAACCAGAGGAAAATACTGTACAACAGAAAAGACAAATCATAAAACCAGGAATCTACATGAACACAAAATAAACTTCCAAGATTCTTAACGTGATCAATAAGGAAGTTATGCATTTTATGTTTCAATTATACTTTCGCTTCAGAATACCTAATTGTGGAGAATGTCGATGAATGAGAGGGGAAATAGAGCTGGATAAAATGTACCAAACCATATTGATTTAAATTTGGAAAGACCACACACTGAGAAGCTAAGAAGGTTTTCAATTAATTTACTAGCTAATAACCATGATCACTCATGCCTGATTGCTGCTCAACCGCCTGCACAAGGAACACTTTTTTATTTTCAAATTGAACAATTAAACCCATTCAAGTTAGTCTGCCTGCGTCATTTCCTATGTAACCTTAAACTTAGGTTGAATCAGACACTCAAGACAAAAAGTTATCGTTCTCCGAAAGTGGGAACTGTTCACACTAAAAAAGCAATTGTAAGAAATAAAACAGCAGATGGCACTGTGGGGTGCGTTATAGCAGGATTCAGCTGCTAAGAGATGAGGCTTTTTGTGTTGTGAAGATTCAAGTGACAACATTTACAATTAAAAGAAAAAAAGCTGTTTTAGTGACACAAAAATGTTTTACAATTATTTATGATCTCTTATAATCCATGTTGGAGAAAATCACCTTTTTAGAAATGCTCTGAATTTCTTCAGTTTGATTGAATTGTTTTTCAATTTTCCAAATGAAAAATTAAAATCATCCACTATATGCATGCTGTGATAACATATTTTCCATTTTCTAGTCATTTCCTTCATCCCTTTCCGTGTCATATGATATATTAAGTGCTCTGATGGTGGTGTAATTTTGTCAATGATAAGAGCTCATGAAATCTGGAACAGAGAAATTTAAGGGAGGTCTTTCATCAGGAAAAGCATCAATTAAAACTGACAGTTTGCTATTGTCAGGTCTTAACGTTTCGTGACTGTTTTGATTCTGACATCACTTGGCAGTTCTCCTGTCAGAGTCTTTGAATGTAGCAGGGGTAAATAAAAAAAACATCCCACTGCCCCCTTATATTGACGCAAAAAAAACAAAAAAAAAGCATCCTTTAACTTAAGAAGACAACTGATTTTTGTTCAACATTTACTTTAACTCATATATAAACTGACTGAATAGGAATAAAACATTTTAAATATCTTATGCATATGTATATATGACGTATAAAAATATTAAAGCCTAAAACCACATCTGCTATAGCTAGAATTTTCTCTTTTGTGCACCTTATGAAAATTACTGCAAAGAAAAATACAAATTTACTTCTAACTTTTTTTTCCTACATATGATTTTTTCGTACTTAAGCAAGATACTGTTGGTATTGAAATAGTTAATTTCAGAACCTATAGAATCCTGAGAGATCTGAGGAAAAACCTTCGGGCTCAAATTATTTTTTTTTCCAAAAGGATAAGAAAAGGAAACGCTTCTTCTGGTACCATGATTTTTTGCTGTTTACATTTAGTTTGTTTCTGATCTGCAGTGAGTTGAGACCTTGAATCGTTTTCATGAATAGAGAAAGCTGGAAATCACTTATTTCAATGGGTAAAATTGATTATTTAGTGGGTAATTTTTTTTAAAGTACGGTAATTTATTTTTGCATCCTTTTTCTATCCATTCTGTATTTTGGAAGTGATATCAGAGCACACACTAGTTCTTAGACAAACAACATCTTTTTCATGATTTTTTGTTGAAAAACAAAACATGCAACTAAACATGTTTTGCATATATGTACATGGTAGTCAAGCGTTTTACAGTTTCCCTTCAAGGCGGCGTTCAAGATTTTGAGTGGCAGAAAAATGCTGGAATGAGAAAAGGAAGATGGCTAGGTCTTAGCGGTCCCTCTTATATCCAGCATGAAAGAGACACCCTGACGTCATGTGACTCCGTAAGGGGAGGGGAGCAACTTCTGCCTCCTCTCCTGCGCTCAAACTGTCACAGTGCAGGGAGGCAGAGACACAACAAGGGCCTTTTACCACAAATACAAACATGCTAAGCTTGAGCTGCTCTCACAGTGTATATAAATGCATTTGTGTAGACAGGTGAATAAATCTGGTGCGCCCATTTCCATAATGAGGGAGAATTAGCATAAGCTGCAGCATTGTGGGCTGCCTTCAGTTGTTCTCCAAGATCAATTAAGGACTGGTAGCAGGCCTAAGAGATTCAGTCCTATTCTGCTGAAAGCCTCACTCTGGAATATTCCAGGTAGGTCCTGAAATACATCATTCTGAGTGCAAATTGTATGCATCACCTTGTCATTGTTTTAAAAACCGATTTCTCATTTTTCTGCAAGTATGTATAGGCTAGTTGAACAGTCAAAACAAGACAGTCCAGCTCATGTTTGCAGTTGTGTGAGGCACCGAATGTTAAGTCATCGGATGTGAGAGCAAACTGTATCTTTGCTGTGTCCATTCCTACTTGTTTTATGTAATCAGAAACGTTTCTTGTGAGCAGCTGGGTTTCCATCTGTTAACTACTTCTGTTTTAACAGAAAGGTGGACACAACACTGAGCGAAACTGGGATACAGTTGAGCTTAAACAAAGGCACTGCCTTTTCATGGGTAATGTTAGCAGCATATGGAGTGTTTCTGATTAAATATCAACCCCCTTTCAAACACTGATTTCTCAATAAGATGATTCTGGGTTAGGGCCTGAAATGTTAGGAGTGTGTACAGATTCAAGCCCATATTAAACACTCCCCCGGTTCATTTCCTTTTCCTCCATTTCCTCTCTATCTCCCCCACCTCCCTCTGTCTCTGTCTCCCTCTCTCTCCTCTTTCTCTGCACCAGCTGCTGCTGCTCCCGAGCCAGAGTGGAGAGTCCCCTCACCCCACTGCACAGACAGACAGAGACAAAAGGCCTGTTTCGCCTGCTGAACACTGCCCCCTTTCTCCAGCCGTCCCTTCATGCACGGCTGTGGTGGTGGTGGGGGCTTCGAAAGAAAGCAAGGCCCGGACTGGAGCTAAAAATCTAGGACTCACCCAGTGAAGGAGGAAGTGAATAGGGAAAGAAGGGGGAGGAGGGGGGAGGAGGAGAATGGAGGCTGGAATGATTGGGGCTGTTAAAGGCAGGTGCTGAGGCCTCTACAGGAAGAATTCTTTCCCCCTTATCTTACAGAGTGGAAAAAAAATCTGACAAGGGTATGCCACGTTTACCTCTATATATGCATGAGTGCATGTTTATGTTTATTGATGTCTCTGTGGGGGTGTTAGTGGGGCAGGGTGGCATGTAGTTGATGGAAAACTGAGAAGGGAGATGCTCGAATGTCTCGTTTATCAACATGTTGGGTTGTTGTCTAATGCTTGCATCCTTTTCCATCAGTCTACAGTGATGAGTCTAATGTTACTGGAGGCTGATGGAAGATTTATAGTTTTCAAAGAGATTACTATCATGTTGGAGGTGGGATGGCTGAGGAAAAGTGTTGAGAAAAAGGCCAAGTGTCATGCTGAGTTTTTACTGCTATCATGATTACACAAACCCTTTTTTTTGCTGTTTTTGAAATATTCATTTTTCTTGCATCATCAGGAACACATTTGCAGATCATGTCACCTGATTTATTCCTGATTTATTTATTATCATTGTGTTTTCCCATTATATCATTTATGTCTGTCTGTATTGAGATCCCAAATTCTGTTTTTTCCATCTATTTTGTATGCACATCCAAACATAATGAGTGTCACTGTTTGCACTTTTGCGATCTAGATAAAAGACCAGAATATTTGATTTATTTCAAATCAAAATGTATGTTTTTTTTAAAAGTCCTCTTAGTTCAGTTTAATGGCTGCAGTGCTTCCTGGGAGGTGGATACTCTGCTTCTTCCTGTGTGGTTCTGAGGCCGTGCTGCACCACAAGGTTTTATGTTGGGTGACCGGAACCAGCTGAAACCGGTTTGAGGCAGACTGAGGGTTGACAGGAACAATGCCGTCTCTGTGCTCCATGGGGATAGAGATAGCCCGGGCTGCTCCATGGCAGCCCCTTCATAGCCCTGGCTAACATGACAGACGCTGTTGCCGCTCACTGCTGGCTAAATGTCGGAGCGCTACGCAATATGGCTCGCTGTGAGGAGAGCAGGGAGATTTGGGACGGGGCGAGGGCAGGGGGACGTGGCTGGCCGGGAGTCTGTGAATCTGTAGCTGAGAGCCTGCCTCGCACATTCACACACACACACTCACACACACACACAGGAGCATGATCTATGTGTCTGTTTATTAGTCTGTATGCTGCAATTGGTGCAGAAAATGACTGAAGATGATCTTTACCAGGACCACCAGCACTCACCAGATACTTGGATGTAACCTGACCCTGAGATCTGGGCCTTTGCCTGGTTGGGAAGACTTTTTTTTTTCCAGGCTGGGTGGGGTGGATGGCTTTTGTGGGTTAGTAGTGTTGTGACTCTGTTTGTTGCAGGATGGAAGGAAGGAAGGAAAGAAGGTTTTGCTAGTGGCTGGAGAGGGACGAAGGCGAGAGGGTGAGGAGTTGCTGATTCACTTGCATGTCTCCACCATTATTTCACACACACACACACTTTTCTTAGAATGCAGCTTTTGCTACCATAAAATATAGATTTCCGGTGGTAACAGTGCATGTGTACTCAGTTGTTGTTGCTGACAGGCATTCTGTGTTGTGGATTTCCTCTGTATTTTAAAGTTTCATCTGCTTCCCACGTCCAGTCACTCTGGCAGTCATGGCTGAAAGTAGCTGTTTTTTTCCATCAGGCCTCTTCCTCTCCCTGCTGCAGCTTCACACAGCTCAGCCGCCATTTTTCCCCCTCACTGCAACTGTCGCCTGCCCCTCTCCCTTCATAACAAGTCTCTTTCGTCTGTCCTTTTATTTATGCCAACCTTATGATTACGGCTAACCAATCATCTGGATTAAATTGACATGTCTGGCATTTCCAAACCAAAGCAGATGCTGTAAGCTGTGGCTTTGTGTGTACGTTTGTGCTTGCCATACATTTGGATCAAACAGCAACACAGGTTCAGTGTGACACATAAGCAGTGCGGCTCCATACACATGCTTGTTTTCTCCTAGAAGCGATGTACAGCCCTGTCGAGGATTATTTATTTTGATACTGCATCAAAAATAAAGAATGGCCTGTATTAAATTATTACAATTTTTTATATGTTTACTGTATGAATTGAAGAATTTGTTGATTTGCTAGATAAAAATAGTTTCTAATTAAACTGGTTTCTGACGATGTTTCTAATATTATAGCTTGGTGTCTTGTCATATTGTAAACTGGTCATGAGGAAGGTGTTATTTTTCAGTTTTTTACATAAGCTGCCAACACCTAGCCAGCAGAGAAATGCAGAACAGTGAAAACAGCAGTGTGAAAGTAAACATAAAATGTTGAAAAATGAATTGGGATTTAGGATATGAAACCAGATATCATAAAAACGCACTCTGTGCTAAACTACCTCCCACTCAGCCAGCAGATCCAATTGTTTAGTTTTTTTTCTTTTCGAAAAATGTTGGATGATGGAACGCAGTAAGATCTGACGCAGCAAATCTCAGGCTGAGACAGGCTGTCTGGGGAACAACATAATAAGGTGTTACATGGAGCACAGTGAAGTATTATTTGACTATTTATAATACGAAATCTTTGAATAATCAAGCATCTTGATATTCATCAAAAGTTAAGATAGTAAAATGACTCAGTCATTGACAAATATTCTTATACATATATAATTCATTATCTTCCTGTATTATTTTCTCTAGGAAAAAATTTTTTACTCCAACAATCATAAATGGAATCAGTGACAGAGATCAGTGGTGATGTTTCCTGGATATCTTTTGCTAGTAAAATTGGTAAAATTGGAATTTTTCAAATATTTGTACCGTTCCATAAATTTAGATACAAGTAACAACACAAACATAGTATGGTCAGTCCAAAGAAGACCATCTATAAGGTATATATCTTATTTGATATACATACCAAAGCTACAACACAAACATTTAGCAATTTCCGTGTGCATTTTTTCATAATTAATTAGTGTTTTCCATGTGATCTCCTCAACAGAGCAGGAGAAGGAACATGGGAGATATGAAGACGCCAGACTTTGATGACTTGCTTGCGGCCTTCGACCTCCCTGACATGGTGGATCCAAAAGCTGCAATTGAATCTGGCCACCAAGACGAACATGTTGGACAACTCAAACAACCAAGCGGTGGGGTGACCACCAATGAAGTACAGGCCCACCAGTCCTCAACTGCCCATGATATTGGCGTTAGTGTCATTGTAAAGAACATTCAAAACATGGAAGCAAGTGAATATGGTGGAATTGGAACAGAGAAAGATGGACATCCGAGCGCCAATTCCAGAGCACATTCTCTCAGCAGTGGACCTCAAAATGGCTGTTTGCCCAAAGTGCTACTAGGTCCTCATTGCACAAAAAATGGATGGAAAGCTCCCAGAGATGAGGGGCATAAAGTTAACAACCAACCATCTACCTTTAATCAGTTTAGCCCGATTTCTAGTGCTGAAGAGTTTGATGATGATGATAGAATTGAGGTAGATGAACCCTCGAACAAACCGGGAGCACAGACTTTCTTCAGGCCTGGTGCTAATCCAGAAGACCAAAGGTCTCCTATAATTGATGGTGCATCAAATCCCAAAGCACACAGCAAGGACAAACTTGATCAAAATAACAATGGCACCTTCAGAGATTACAAGTCTAACAATCCATCTCCATCCACTTTACCGGATGAAAATAACATGGGAACCAACTCCAAGTCTAAAAACAAAGCGTACAAAGATGTTGGGGACTCACCAGAGCTTACTGATGTATCCAGTATCTCCCAGGGTAAAGCCAGGTCCTCCACAAAACTTTCATCTTGTATTGCAGCTATCGTGGCTCTTAGTGCCAAAAAGGCTAGTGCTGAGGACATGGGCTTTTCAGACTCACCTAAAACACACAAAGAATTCGTCCAGGCCAAAGACAAGGCCAGAGCTTCAGAAATAACACAGGAGCAAGATTCAGCCATAGAGTTTGCTAAGAAATTGCTTACAAGACCACCAGACAGCCCCTCTAGTGTCACCAGTGAGAGCAGCAGCAGGGGTTCCCCTGCTTCGAACACAGATACCACTCCAGTCATTCCAAAGGTGAGGATCAAAACTATCAAAACCTCATCTGGACAGATTAAACGTACAGTTACCAGAGTTCTCCCAGAGTTGGATCCCGAAGGCCTGAATAAAGGAGATAATAAATCTTGTCTCCTGACAACCACTGGTGCAATTTTGTCATCAACCACAAGACCCAATCTGTCAACCACGGTAGTAACCACCAGTGGGGGTTCCTCAATTGAAATAACCAAGCAGGTGACTATCAAGCCTGTGGCGACAGCTTTCTTGCCAGTCTCCGCAGTCAAGACAGCCGGTTCACAAGTTATTAACCTTAAGCTGGCTAACAACACCACAGTAAAAGCAACAGTCATCCCTGCAGCTTCGGTGCAAAGTGCCAGCAGCGCGATTCTGAAAGCTGCGAATGCCATCCAACAACAGACTGTCATGGTACCCGCCTCCAGCCTGGCAAACGCCAAACTTGTGCCAAAAGCAGTCCATTTTAGTAACCTCAACCTTTTACCCCAGTCAGTGTCCTCTGCTGCCTGTGATCTCCAGCCGGACGCATCCTCTTCCAAACAGTCCAAGCATCAGCAGTCACAGCCAGTGAAACAACAGACAACTGGTCAAGCCTCAAAAAAAGTTCCCAGAGTTCAAGTGTTCAGTAGCTCTCAAAGTTCTGTTGTGGAGGCCTTCAATAAAGTCCTGAGCAGCATGAATCCTGTTCCTGTGTATGTTCCAAACCTCTCTCCACCATCTTCAGCCTGTATATCTCTACCATCAAGGGGCTACAAGTGCCTGGAGTGTGGAGATTCATTTGCTCTGGAGAAAAGCCTGACACAGCACTACGAACGCAGAAGTGTACGAATTGAGGTCACTTGCAACCACTGTGCCAAAGGTTTGGTGTTCTATAATAAATGCAGCCTCTTGTCTCATGCAAGAGGCCACAAGGACAAAGGAGTAGTAATGCAGTGCTCACACCTAATCCTGAAACCCATCCCAGCAGATCAGATGATCAGTACATTCAATTCATCGGGACCACCTGCTATCACTTGCACTACGTCTACCTCTCCTGTACAGGCACCTACAAGTCAAACCCAAGGAAAAGTTGCAGGTGGTGGAAACGGAACTGCTGTCATTTCAGCTCCGTGCAATGCTCCTCTTGTGGCAGCTATGCCCCTGGAGGATGATGCATCAAAACTTTGCCGGCACAGCCTCAAATGCTTGGAGTGTAATGAAATGTTCCAGGACGACAGTTCACTAGCCATGCACTATCAGCAGTCGCCAGATACCAGTAGCCAGGTATGGACATGGTGTTCAAACTGTTATGTTGTTTAGGGGACCAACATTTTTTGTGGAAAAAAAAGGTCCTAACAATTGCAGTAGAAAATGTTGTACTCTGAAAACAAAAAGATCTCCTATATTACCATAGTAGTAGGTTGACGAATGGGAGAATACAAGATATTTTGCATTTTTGATGTTTCTGTGAAAATAATAGCAACGAAAAGTATTTTTGACTCAAAAACTTTATTAACCATGGGTCTCTTTTTTAAATCAAAACAATAGCTCAAATTCACTAGGCATCATAATTGAAAGCAAACAAACATTCCCTGATGTTTCTTCCCTTTTTTGTCCTATAGAAAACATGCAGCATTTGCCAAATGCTTCTCCCAAATCAGTGCAGCTTTGCGTCACACCAACGAATCCACCAGCACAAGTCCCCTTACATCTGTCCTGAGTGCGGTGCCAGTTGTCGCTCTGTGCACTTTCAGTCACATGTCACCAAGAACTGCCTGCATTATACCCGCAGAGTTGGCTATCGGTGAGTTTTCCCGTGTGTAAACCAAAAAGCTGCGATGACATAAACTGGGCATCTGACACATGGTTTCCAATGCGGAAACGAGCCATGTTTCCCTGCTCGTCTTGCACTTTAGTGAAATGTGGCTTCTATTTTAAAGTGACACTTAAATTGTCGCAATTAATTGCAGTCATTTGACTCTTTTATTATGTTTGCTTCAACATGACAATCCAGTAGCCTTCATATTACTCACAAGAAAATTATCGAGAAAATGGTTAAATTATTATCCTGGTCTTTCAAAATGTTATATGATAAATTAACAATTTTCTTTTGAAATAGTAAAACCAGAAAATGTATTTAAAAATTGAATTGCTTTTTTCTTCTGCTTCTTCCACAACATAGACAGCAGCCCCTACCATAGTTATTTGGGTACTTGCACAAACTGATAATGTGTTGCTTCTGTTGTCACTTCTATTTGAGTTTCTCTGGAAATCAATCTGTACAAAAGTTTGCATATCCTGAAGCGTTATCTCAAATTAATGAAAAATCCAGAGGATGCCAATGACATTACCCTCCTTTTGTGTTCTGTTTTCATAAAGACTCCAGGAACCATTAAATGACTAGAATATGAGATATTCTTAAACAAGTGCCTCTGTAAGAGAACATAATAATTTTTATTTATCCTCTGTCCATAATTTCTCCCTCCAGATGTATCCACTGTAGCGTGATCTTTGCTGACGTCGCAGCTCTTAAGTCCCATTTACAGAGTACTCACTGTGAGATCTTCTACAAATGCCCTCTGTGCCCTATGGCCTTCAAGTCTGCTCCTGGAACACACTCTCACGCGTACACTCAGCATCCAGGAGTGAAGCCAGGAGAGCCCAAGTAGGTCTCGTCCACCAACACGTATCTGCTTCAACTCTTCCTCAAAAAACATGACTGGTTATTTTAGTCATTTGAGCATATTCAATTAAGTGAGATAGCTTTATTTAATTTTTTTTCTATACACCTTAGCTTACACAACACACGTTACACAACTTTTTCTGCCAAACAGATCCACACGGATCCACGGCAGTGTACTCTGACACCCATGTCTAATTTCTTTTTGTGTGGAAAATCACTCCTGCTGCCTAATCTATAGCAGGATTTGTCAATTTTAGATGTGGTGGCTTAGCTTGGGTTTGCCTTTTCTCCACATGGTAACCTTTCATCACCTTACACACCATCCACCATTGGCAGTGCTGGTAACACACTTGTTTAGAGCGGCTGTGTTTGCACATATATCTGGTTTGGCCACGACAGTTCCTCTGAATTTAGATCTCAACATGCAATGGGCACAAACGCTACATTTTTATTTTCATCTGTGTGGCTCTCTATGATAACTTAATTTCACTGTTAGATATGAGGAATTCAGCCGTAACTGAATATTTAGCAGTTTGATGAGATTCAAATGTAAAATATTCACCACAACAAGCACTAAGCTGAGAGCCCTTTAGACATTCTAACAACAGAATACTTTTTTGTGTCTTTCAGGATGATCTATAAATGTTCCATGTGTGACACCGTGTTCACTCTGCAGTCCCTGCTATACACACACTTTGATCAGCATGTTGTCAATCATAAGGTGTCAGTGTTTAAATGCCCTGACTGTTCTACACACTACGCACAGAAACAGCTCATGTTGGATCACATCAAGGTAGGTGTAAACTTAGCTTGGAGTTATAAATGTATGCTGGGGTATTTTTCTTTTAAACTTCTAATTAACATTGAATGAGCCCACTTCCTGTGACACCTTTGGTAATATGCTTCCTGATGAATCTAAAGCTAGAATTATAGTCAAGCACACATGGCTTCTTCCAGGCTATCCATGGAACCTTGAAGACCATTGAGGGTCCACCAAACTTGGGTATTAACCTCCCGCTCAGCTCAAAGCCCACAAATTCCAACAGCAACAGTCTGCATAGTGAAAACATCAAAGACGGAGGAATCTTCAATAGTCAAAACAGTCAAGACAAGCGAGAGAAGAAGCCCTCACCTTCTCCTCTGAGGAAAGCCAACAGTAACTGTGCAGCTGACTTTAAGAGCCCTCCCAGCCCAGGATACTCATGTGGAGAGTGCAAAAGCCCATTTAGTTCCAGGGAGCTCTTTGTGACGCACATGAGGAGAGAGCATGGAAAGGTACGATACGTTTGCCACTATTCACATGATGATTCCACTGAACAAAAAATAAAAGACAAGTTGTTGTTCATTTTAACCCTCACTTATTAGATTCACTAAAGTAAGTGCAAGCGCAAGTTTAGTTATGTGAGGCCTAAATCAAGCATGAGTTGCTGCATTTTTTTTTTTATTCACATTTTTAATTCGTATTTAAATTCACACTCACCATAAAGTTTCACCCAGATTTCTGGTAACTATTATCAGATTTCCACATTTTACTCATAGCCAAAACTGATTAATTTCTTTAAAACTGCTTTGTTGAAAATAAAGTGCATCTATAAGACATTTGACATATTCTCCCTTTCAAACTGCAGATTCTGAAGAAACATCCATGCCGACAGTGTGAAAAGTCTTTCAGTTCCTCCCACAGTCTTTGCAGACACAACCGTCTCAAACACAAGGGACTGCGGAAGGTCTACACTTGCCCGTGAGTAAAGACGCTAGTTAAATAGTTTCGTCCCACTACAGAACAATGCAACACCTAACTTCTGAGTCTGTGGACACTGTCAACATTTCATGAACGGATCTCAAACCATATGACAGTGAACAAAGGTGAAGGTCTAAGTAATGTTTTGAGCAAACCTTTACACTTTCAAATAATCTTGAACATTATTATTGTTCAAGATTACTCATAACAACATAATGACCTGACACTTTCAAGAGGAACACAGTCATCCTTATACAATAAAACAAGAACATGCAAGTAAAAAATAAATAAAAATGTGTGCTTGAGAATTGTTTTGTTTTTTTTCTTTGTTAGACACTGTCCACCTACCAGTCAACCCTTCACTAAAAGAGTGCTGCTGGATCAGCACATTCAGCTGATGCATGGAGTTAAACACCCTGGAAGAAATGCCAAAAAAGTGGAGGCTACACCTGAAAAGCAAACGGTTCAGTGGCACAAATTTATAAATTTCAACTTTGATGTAATGATCATTTAGGCATCTTTGTCCCAGTGTATGATCCAATTAATTGAATTTTCTGGCTCCTCTTCAGAGTCAAAGCTGCAAGAGGAAGTCAGAAGAAGATGAAATGCCTCCAGGTTTGAATTCCAGGGACACTGAAGCACAGCCGCTAAAGAGGCTCAAGGTGAACATCCTCAAAGTACGAAAGTGTGCCGTCTGTGGTTTCAACACCGAGGATGTGGCTGTCTTCCACAAGCACATTCCCCAGCACAAGTCGGACGGATCGTCCTATCAGTGTCAGGAGTGCGGCCTGTGCTACACCTCCCACCGCTCTTTGGCACGACACCTCTTCATTGTCCACCGGCTGAAGGAGCCAAAAGGCCTTGGCCGATATATCGGACGAAGTAAAGAGGACGAAGAGAGTCAAAGGGAGAATCAGTTGGATAGTGCAAACGAGAACGACGACGGAACACCTAACACAAAATGCAAAGTCTGTGGGAAGACGTTTGAAACGGAAGGCATCCTTAATATGCACATGAGGACACACGGGATGGCGTTCATTAAGTCAAAAAGACTAAGTGTGGTCGAAAAGTGATAGTTGATAATCATTCCATCAGTTATTTAAACCTATGATACCTCTGATAGCTGTAGTTATGCTGTAAATACATGATGTGATGCAGTCTAAGACAATGTGTATATAGTTCAATATAACCTCCAGAATATGTAATATATCCAACAAAAGTCACTTTATGTCTTTCAGTAAATGGGACAAAATAGTTTTTGTACAGATAAAGATGTTCCTAAAGGACCTGAATAGAGCTTTTTTTAGATGAGCCCTTTATTTTCAACTGTTCCACTATTCAGCTAAGACTAGTTACTGTATGAAACTATTAATGTAATATTATTAATCCTCATATAGTCTGCAGTGTTCTGAAGGTTCAGTGCTGCGTTATGTCCACTGAATGTTCTGCTTGGAAAAATGTAAATCTTGTCAAGCTTCACATCACTCTGACTGAGCTTTTGCATTTCACGGATGACTTTTTCTCTGAGACTTGGCTTATTCAGTGAGACTCTGCTTGGTACTCCTGGAAACAGTTGATACAACAACAACAAAAAAAACAATCCCTCCTGAGAAACCTTGAGAAAGAGCAAATAATGAAGATGATCGATGGACAATCAGCTGAAAACAAAGCTGCATCCTCATGCCAACTTATGAATTATTCTCGTATACATATCAATTGCGGATACAGCAGGTTGTGGACTGTCATGTCAAACATTGTTTTATCTTTTAAAGACGAATATTGGCCAGACCTGCGTCCTAGAAAATATTTTGTAAAAGTTTGTGAAACTTTTTGCATTCAATGTTTCATTCTTGTCTTAATATACTCTAAATGGCAGCTCTTTGAGATTACGATTTACTTCACTGAAAATGTATTATTTCAGATATTTAAAGGATCAGAAAAAGCACTTGCCTTTTATTGGACAGCAGGCTACTTCGCAGTATATTGCTACAAATGTTTCATTACAACAGAAATAAACTCATAATCACCATACATTTCAAAACCATGGTAACCTTATCATTTAATTATCTGTATTTAACAAGAGATTTTTTTTCTTTGTGTTTTGCAATTATTGGTCCAGGACAGAACCATAATGAATGTTCACTGACATGGATAAAAGAGAGAAATCTCAAAGAAAACTTTATTGAATGTAAACTTGGCTGTGACGTTGAGTTGCTCAAAAGACACAACCAGTTCAATCAAGCACTTCTTTTGCCCTGGTTTCCACTCATTTCCAGAAACCATGGCGTTTCGGACCTTTGCTTTCACACTGTCGATAAGACTTTGACATCTGGCGCTGTAAAACTGCATGTCAGATTCTGTATGTGAATTGTGTGTTGACTAGAATGTGTCTTGCTGCTGCTGCTGCTTTTAATGCTGCCATTTCTAGCATTTATGATGCTTGTGTACTGAGTTGTTCTTTTTGTCAATAAACAATTAAACCAGCCAGGAACGACCAGATGTGAACCTCACAATTGACTTCAGCTCTTCTCTGTGGACGTAAACAGAACTGCTATGATGACCAGTCACGCTTTTGGCTGTCCGGTGCTGCTTGTTTAATTAACTATTGATGTTACTGAGTGCAAATGATGGATTTTGATAAATGGCTCTTTTGAAATGAGCATTAATCATGAAGAACATGATTGTTTTTTAATAATGGATATAACAGGTTAGAGTTAGGTGAATATTGAATGGAATCCCTTTAAATGTACAAACACAAAACTACTCATGCACATTTGTATAATTTCCTCCTTTCTTAATATTTCGGGAGTCATTTTTACAAAATGAGGTGACATCCTAAGTGTAAAGGATCAGCGTAGAGTGTCATCTCAGTGTAGGACAGAATGCAACATAAGATACAAATCTGTGTGGTTTGTATCAAATATTCACATGTCTGCAATGCAGTTTGTGAGTCATAAAAACAACAACATTGCAATCAGTGGTACGATTGCGTAAAAAATCTGTTATATACATTTTTGTGCAGATAAATTAAGCCCAATGCAGACCAGTCTCTTCTCAAATTCCTTGAAATATGAGTATACAAATGATCTATTTCTTTTTATTGATTTACTAAGAAAAAAAGTTGTGATAAGATTCTGCTACATAGTTTAAAATACCTGTTGAGGATTCTCCACTGGTGATTGTGATTGTTAAATCACAATGCTCTACAGAATAAAGCTTTCACAAAATGCTTACAGTCTGGACTATTACAAAAAAATAAGAAAATAAAGATATAATCAATTACTCATGATTACTTCTCCAGACCTGGGCGTGTAGATTTCACTGTTGCCAGGAGAAATTAGCCAATCCTAGTAGCTTTGCAGAACAACGTCCCCCTCTAGTGACCATTTTTCTGTGATGATTTATTTAGAAGAGACACCACACTTTTTATATAACTGCCCTTCTATTAGAAAGAATTACTTGTTTTTACAAAAAAAAAAACATATGATATCCATAATAATAATCATATTTTCTAAATGTAGTTCATTCATTTTAAAATGAAATTTTCCTGGGTTAAACATGCTTCTTTTAGAAACCACGCACAGCTTTGCAAAGACGAAGACAAAGTCATGCAATTGTGGGACCTATTTTTCTCTCAAATTCTACTAAATGAAACTAGTTAACTGTTTATTTTATTTTAAATAATCTATACTTAAGATAGAGATGTATCATTCTTCTTAAAACAAATTAATCCAATGTAACATTTCAAAATGTATTCAAGATGAATATTTTAAAAAGCACAGTGAAAACAGGTTCCTTTACATGTCTTGGCTATGCAATACTTATCAAAATGTGTTTATTAATGTTAGAGGTCCGAACAAAACTGTGATAATGTCATGGAAAGCCAGCGGTGGACTGGCTTGTTTTTGGATCTGCTGTCATTATCAGGCTTCCACTTCAATTATGCTGCTTCCTCCATAGTGACGTATTCAGCTTGACGTGGTCGCTCTTCCAAGTAACTAAATTCTCTCCACACCTGATGGAGACATCCGGGTGGAGACAGGTCACAGTTGCCAAAGAGATTTTTCAATCCATCTGAAGAAAATGGATTTCATGCTACTTTTTTGCCTCATGCTGTGTCCCTCTCCATTATTTAAGCACCTTCCTCTCTGATAAGATGTAGTTAGATCTAAAATGGCCCTCGGTTGGGCCGTGTTTCTTCTGCTTGTGGGAGGTAGTGCAGCACAAGAAAGCTCGCAGGTCTTCAACGTGTCACAAAGATGTATGAATGACACAAATAGTTTCCTCTGGGAAATGAACCAGGACAAGCCGAAGGAATACGCTGTTCTCAGTGAGTGTTACTGCCTTTTATCAAACTTTATTTCTGACTGCAATATGATCACGCCCTAAAGAAAAGAAAACTTTTCTTTCCCATTTTCAAGAAAAATGATACCTCAAATGTATCTTGAAAGATAAATGTAATTAGTGTACAAAGATGCAAAGAAAAGAAAAAAAAACATTCAATGTTCAAAATGAGGGTCTTTTTTGTCTTTAAAGTAACGTCTTAAGTTTTTAAGCTCAAGTATGAAAACTGTGTAGTTATGAAGTGTGTTGTGACCTTGTTTGCTAAAGCATGAATACCAGAACAGTTTGTGTGGGAGCTGCTGACGTCTTTCCAAACAGTTATTGACATGAAATGTCAGCTCATCTGTAGATTACAGACGCTCTGCTGTCTTACTGCCACACAGGGACATCACATGCATGGCTTATCCAATGCTCTCACTATAAAACTTTTTAAAGACAAAAAAATAATGCATGCAATAATGTAAAAGGCAGGTGAGGTGCTATAAAACAGGATCTCCTCCCAAGAAGCTGCAGACCTCTGTTGCCTGGCAACACTTTATCACTCTATGAAATGGAGCAGCCATTTCATGGATGATCCATGTTATGGATGCCAAGAGCCAATTATAGACATATTGACAGAGACCTTACTCCACACAGAGAGTCCAAGTTCCATGACAGAGATGGAAGATTGTTTTTGCTGACAGGAAGGAAACTTTCAGGAAGACTCTTGCGGGAGTATTTTTCTCTGTCCACTTCATTGGATGTTGTGTAGCAAAACAACACAGAATGCATTAATTCTCCAATCTTATAACCTGATATTTAATACTTATGCGTTTAATTACAGTGTATGACGCATTTGGAAAGATGGGTAGCAATGTTGAAGGAGGTAACATCAACCAGCCTGGTTTGCTACAGCAGTGCCGTTCCACGGCTGGTCCCAGCTTCTCCGGCCAGTACTGCCAGGTGTTTCTGAAGCAGGTAAACACAACGTGGCGCTGCCACCCGTAATGTGACGGCAAATTTCTTATCGTTGATCTTTCTCGTTGAATTCACTACTGAAGGGAGCAATCCAGTACTTTATTGGAATTTGTGTTCCTGACTCATGTGACGACCTAGACGTTCAAGCACTGGTGCAGGACAGTAAGTTTTTCAAAATATATTATCTTTAGATGTATTCCAGAGTCGTTCACATACATGTGTGTATATACACACTTATTTGATCATCATTTCAGACAGACTTCAGTTTAATCAGATGTCCCTCATTCCTCCATTACCTCCTATCCTAATCAATCAGTCCACTCAGGAGATGATCATGACTCATTGTTTGTCTGACACCATTGCCCCTCATGCATCTGAGGTTGCCTGCCTGTAAGGAATCATATATTCATTTACATCCTAATACACTGTGTCCTTTTAACAATTGCCCTTGACTTTAAAAGTGATTTACTTTTCTCCTGCAGGTTTGTTTGCTGTGTTATGATAGCCGTTCCTCTGGCAGCCACCCTATTTACAGCACTATTAAAGTCCAAACAGAGTGAAGCGGTCAGCCAAGAAACAGAGTTTTCCCCTTTCAATAACGACTTGAACATTTATGGGACCCTGCACACCAATGGTTCCTTTAGCAGAGAAATGAACCATGATACGCTGGAAGAAAGTAGTAAGTGAAACGTGCATTTACAGTAATAAGTGCTTTTATAAAGAGTGAACCTTACTGACCGTTGTGTTTTATAGACATCACCACCCCTGTGCAACTCTGTGTTTCTCGACGCTGTGTGTATGACTGCCTTCAGGCCTTCTGTCTACAGACCACCAGTCAGGGCATCTTCAGCAGCTCTTCATCCACCACAGATTCCGACTACTCCTCACTGAACGGCATCCGTGTCCTCAGTCTTCTGTGGATCATATGTGGCCACTCTGCACAGTTCCCCGTAATTAATAACCTGGGTACGCAAAGTTTCCGGCAAAGAGTATTTCTTACAATTCTTGTAATGATCTTTATCAATCATTTCTGTGTTGCTCTTGTAGATAACTACAAAATCTGGAAGAAAACAGTTGAAAGTAGCCCTGTGTATGTACTAACCATCAGTGGGCCTGTTTTTCTGGCTGTTGACACCTTCTTATTGCTGGGGTGAGATTATAACAGTTTCTGATAAACGCTGCTGTATGTTGCGAGTTCTAAATCGTAAATTTCGTTTGCTTTTTCAGGGGTCTGCTTAGTGCCAGGTCCCTGCTGAACTCCATCAACAAAGCTGAGGACAAACTCAGCACCAGTCTGGTTGCAATGTATCTACTCAAGAGGATTAAAAGGTATCACGTCTTGATTGACTTCTTATTTTGTTTTTATAAGCACGAGTCAGAACATGGAAAATTATTGTAAAGTTAAGGGTGAATTATATGAATTTGTCTTTCTTAACTGTAGGATTCAGCCCCTGCATCTGTTCGTTATGTGTCTCACCATCAGCCTCATCTCTTTGGTCCACTGGGGACCCTATTGGTTCCCATTTATAGACTCAATGATGGATTGTAAGGCGTACTGGTGGGCTAACGTACTGCTTATTAGCAATCTCCTCCCAGTCCATGAGATAGTAAGTTTAACCAATGCTTAAGACATATTTTCCTTCCAATTTTGTAATGTTTTTTTCTCATTTCTGATGCTTATGTCTTGTAATCTCTCCTCAGTGTATTCCTTGGACGTGGTATCTGTCTTTAGACTTCCAATGTTATGCCACCACTCCTCTGTTGGTGTATTTTTACAGACTGTATGTCCACATTTTGTTGTATAATTCTGAATATTATCTCAACAAAAGTGTAGTGAGGCTGTGCATTCTATCTTTACTTTTCCAGGAATAGGAGCATGTTTGCAGTCGTGGCAGGATGCCTTTTGCTGATGACCATTGTAGCCAGTGCTGGCATAACTGCACTCCTGCAGCTTCCAGTCTTTCAGCCATCCATAATGTAAGAAATAGTATCTTGCAAAAAATTATTTAGCTGCCCCTTATTTTGGTATGATGTGCTTCCAAGGAGTCAGACCTTCTTTTATTGTATTTTTGCTGTCCTGTTTGTGCAAGGTTTGAATGATCATTTAGCTCTTAATCAATTATAATTGGTCTTAGGGAAGGCTGTGGTAAAGCAAATGATATATAAACATAGGTCATCGTAGAGGATTCAGTTAAACTGTCCAGGGAGCAGGCTGTAGGATTTCTACTTAGTACTGCAATGCGCATGGAAGGAAGACATCTTCTGTTTTACCGTGACTCCATTATGATATTTATGTTCACAGGACATCGGAGAACTATGTTTTGTATTACTATGTGAAACCATACACCAGATATGGACCGTTTTTAATAGGGATCTTGACTGGAATATACCTCACAACCAGAAAAAATCAGCTGTTGAAGCGAAAGGTGAGATCATGTCATATTTTTCACCCATTCCACATTATTCCTTGCAATGGTAACCCTCCACATTTTTCTTAGCTTCTGCATCAGCTTGACCTAGAATATCATAAATCTTTGGGTGTAATGCATGCAAAATATATACAAAAATATTAGATTTGGTCATTTCTTAAATAAATTGTAAATAACATACCTGAAAACATTGGCGCAAAACATAGATAAACAGTAACCGTTAGTGTTTTATATTCTTACCAAATGTTGCAATCGCCGTTATGTTCATGGCGTCTTGCTAATGTTCCAGAGGCAGGCAGCAGCTGGTTGGTTCTGCTGTCTGTTACTGATGGCAGTGTTGGTTGGACTGGCCTACATCCTCAGAGACACTCCAGCCCACCCGTCTCTGCCACATGCTCTGTACCAGGGTCTGCACAGACCCCTCTGGGCTCTGGCTGTGAGTTGGATCATTCTGGCCTGTGAGGAGGGCCATGGAGGTAGGGTAAGAATTAACCAAGCTCTGTCTCTGGTATGATAAAATACATTTTGTCCTCATGTTTTTCACTGATCAAGTAGACATAATATAGATTTGACACCAAACATTCCTCAGGCTAGAAGAGTCACATTTCTCTGTTCAGATCGTTTCATGTTGTGTGAAAGCTAAATCATGCTGTGAGTATCAGGATAACTTTATCTTTGTTTCTTCAGGATTCATCAAGACGTTCCTATCACTGCATTTCTGGGTCCCTCTGTCCAACATTAGTTTTGCCTGCTATTTGGTACATCCTGTATTCATCATTCTCTACAACGGGTTGCAAGAGACCCCGATCCACTACACAGACATAAATTTTGTAAGACAGCATTTCATCCACCTTGTTTTATCCACTAGGAACACTTGACTGTTTCCCAGACTTAATCATTTCTTCCAACCTCTGTTTTTCTGCCCTCTATAGATGTACCTGTTCTTTGGCCACCTGGTGCTGACAGTGGTGGTGAGCGGCGTGCTCACAGTGTTAGTTGAGAGGCCGTACGTCCTGCTTAAACAAAGCAGCACCAAGAAAAACAACCCTTAAGTTTCAAATGTATGGTCATTCTTTGTGCAGTTTGTGATCAATTGTTTTTTTGGTTTTTAATGTAGTTTGCCAACAAACTAAAATGAACTAATTACTTAATCAATTATTGATCATTAATTATGATTATTATTCATTAATATTATTATTTGACCATTAACAGATGGTTTTGAAATAAAGAAAATGTCCCCCAGTCCTGGCAAAATTTGCTTTCCCTATTATATAGTGACATCTCCTGTCCAGAGTAACATTTTGTAGTACTGTCAACCACCTTCTGCAGATACTAGCTAATGTATCCTCACTTTACAACATATCATATTAAATGCATTGGCTGTGTGTTCAGTTTTGTTTCCTTATCTCAGTCTGCATATCATCACCATTACTGCTTTTCCAAATGATATCTTTATTTTCATAAATGCAGTATCAGTCTATATTTATATTGTGATGCAAAAGTGATAACGCAGTAGCTCAGGAGAGCAAAGATGGCCATGCTCAGCCCGGCATGTCAGTTCACTGTGTGCACAGTCCCTTTATGCAGTTATCATTACAGCTTCAGGATGAAAAAACAGATTAAAAAAAAAAAATTGGGGGGCATTTTAAAGTGTTTGTCTAAGAGCCCCTTGAACCTATATACTACTTTGGTAGTGGTGAGAGCAACAATGAATTGAATTGGGCCTAATTTGAGGGCCTTTATTGAGGCTGATTCATATCTATCTGAGTCATAACAAGTCTATCCTTCTCAGGGCAATTATCCTGTTGTACGCCAATTAACGTAATCACCCAATATATTTGACTCATCTGATGAGATCATGGCACAAGTCTTTTGTTTTTTATGACTCATGGAACATGTCCTAGCCCCATCCAGCTCAGTTATGCGAGGCCTTAGTTTTGCTCCGTGTAATAAAATGACAATTTCTTTCACTAACACACTCAAAAAAACTAAACAGCAAATATTAGGACTTTTGTGTTGAATCTTGTTGTTGAATGGAAAGTTATTTCATAAACCACAGTTCCAAACTTGGCTCTCAAAACTTTGGAAAGGACTGAAGAGTCCAGGGTGGGGCAGTCTGTGTAACAACATGGAGTAAAAATACAGCTTGCTTTGGTAAGATGATACTTCTCTCTCCATGACTACATGACTCCATGAGGCCACATCCAATTCCAAGCGTTACATCAACATGTTTAAGATGTGATTGTGAGCCACAGCCTATAATCAGGTATATTTTTGTGATATAGAACAAATGCATTTCACTTATACAAAAGTACAAATTTATTTTTTGATCAGTTTGCATCAGTAAGTTATAAAATAGCATAGAATTGATTTTCAGCCACAGAATAAACTAACTGGAAATTATTTATTTCTTGTTCCACCTCCCATCAGCATTATCATCTCATCAGATTTTGTAAGAACACAGAAGTCCTATGGCAGCTGTATCATGACCAGTCATGTCCACTGACTGCTTGGTGAATCACTGAATACACACGTAAGGGGTGATGACACACTAGGAACCTTCACTTATGCCCCATCTGTTGCTTGCAAGATTAATAGGATATAGCAAGGACACATATGGATACAAATCTTACATAACAGTACAATTGGCCTACATTACATGAATACATTTTGAAGTACTTTGTCTTCAACTGCTCACTTCTTAAATAATTTATCTAATCAGCTGTACACAATAACTAAACTCAATAATTCAATTTGTATAAGTTCCTCCTGAGCCAGTGATTTAAAGAATCCCACTTCACCTGAGCCTACTAATCAGAGCTGTGTGTCGAAACCCTGAAAGTCTTACATTAAGCATAAAAAAAACTTTTTATAAACATGTGAGCTAGTCGAATGTTGGCTCCGGTCATAATAAACTAAGACCACACACAAACAATAGCTGTACATATTGCTTCCACAAATACGTTGGTCTTCCTTGAGAGGCAGTAGCTACAAAAAGTCAGCTAATCTTAGTTCATTTCAAAATTAAAAGAGTCTGGGGTTAACAGTTTTATTGGAAGGTTCCTTTTGTTAAATTGCTATTTACAATGTGTTGACTACAAAGCAGAATTTTTGGCAGAATGTTATCAGTCTTTTTTAAGATAGTTTTACGACAACTATTTCTAACATTTGTAGGTCCATTTTCTAAATGCTGCCCAGCTCAACTCACAGTTAAGATAATCTACTGCAAGGCAAATTAATGAAAGGAACAAAAACATTATTTTTCATGTCAAACATCAGAAACTTCTTTTCAGTTCAGGGTAAATTAGAATTGCTCACTGATTCACGTCAATGGAAACCAGCCTCCAATCTATTTCAAATGGGATTTGTTGTCATTTGTTACCTCTGACACACAACAAACTGGCTAAATGAGAGGCGAAATCCCATGCAGTCATAGCAACAGCATGGTGATGTAATTGGAACGGTTTCAGCATGATGTCTGACCTCAATAAGTTGAATACCAGCTTACCAGTGCTTTTTTTCTAAAAGCATCGTAAGGGTGCCATTGCCAAATATATTGCCTTAAATAAAACAGTCATTCATGTGGTAGTACATATATGTATATATACATAACTTACTAAAGCAAAGTGCATACTGCCAAGCATAAAAATGCAGGCTAAAAAAATAACATTTAACTATGAGTTGCGCTATGATGAAGATCTAAAACGGCCTGTAAATATAGCTATCAAGTTTTAAAAGTTCAAGATCGGCACATGCTCACAATATCAGGTAACTAACTTCAGCCTTACGGGAGACAACATGTAAAAATAGACTCCCACCCTGAGACTGCCAGGTCCGCCTGAGCTCATACTGAAGTCCTACATCACAAGTCTATATCCTCAACAACACGGCTATGAAAAGGGTACGTACTGTTTGCATGGCTGGAAATCCCCCCCCTCGCAGGCTAGACAACTGTTTTAATGCCTTGAGTAATCATAACACTTTTATTGTCTGTGATTCAGCTGCGTGCTACTTTGTCAATAATTGTGGTTTGGTTTGGGAATGGTAAATGTTGTCTACACTCCTGATATGTTGAAAAAGAATCTGCTCAGATGCATGAATCACATGACACACATGAAGCCTCGTAATTAATTCCTTTAAACAACTCATTTACAAGTAGAATGTATTTCTTTTGCTTCTCTATGATATTTATCTCCATTTTTGGTTTGAAATGAGGTTTCAGTTTAAGGCAGGTTGTGATTTTCTTTTGAGGACTTTTTTAAAATCGGCCTCCTAAGCCTTTCAAGCTTCAACTTACAGAGCTATTATGAGAGTCTGCATGGCTGAAGATATACCTGGTTTGGCACTAATGGCGAAGAAGAAATCAAATTACACTTTATTGCTTTCAGGTGCTGACAGTTTTATTGTTTTCAATGTCACAACAGATCATGCCCTTTCTACTAAACAAATAAAGTATACAATGAATACTTACATAAATTCCATTTAAATTTATAGGTGCAAATTGTAGATTAAGGTATGTATATACATATGCATATATGTATTTACAAATCTAGCATTGGGTTCTGGATGTGTTTGTGTCAAAGAAAACATCAGATGAGGGGGTGCTGAGCGCTGGGCTAGGTGTCCTTCATGAAACCGGAATGTGACGAATGCAGGTCATGGGTGAAGATGTGCTGGTATTTTTCCAGCATCTGTGCCACCAGCTTCCATCTAATATATCAGAAGCCTCCCCCTTCAACACTTCATATCATCCCTCCGCAGGTGTAACCCCATTTCTAGAATGGTTTGAATACAGTGGAAAATGTAAATAAAAACAGATGGCAATTAGTCCTAAGTCATTCTAAGCCAAGACTGCCTCCATAAAAACAAAAAATAGGATTGTTTTTGTTATCAAAACACACACATTTGGAATTTGACACAAAAAGAAAGAAAATCACAATTTATAACTGCATGTATAAATTAAACTCAAACCCGAGGCCCACTCACAAGAGCAGCTTAAAGACAGTAACTGTTCCTTTGTGCTGCATACAAACCAGAAAGTGTAAACTCATCTTTCAGCCAGTGCACAGGCTTTAATCTTTCATGTAAATACAAGAAGAAGGTTTCCTGTGATAAGGTGTCTAGGGTCACTTAAAAATCCTTGAAATAGATGCAGCATGCCCCTGAATAGGCCATCGTCTGTAGTTTAGATAAGCCTATCGTACAGAGTGACAGCTAGAGGGAGATAGCATGCTTTGCAGCATGGATGTGGTTTCACCGGTGTCTGAGATTATGGTGTTGGCCAGTTGTGAAAAGTTTATGTTCACTGATCATATCACGTTTTACCTTTCAGGAGCTGAGTTCTAAAATAAAAGCTGTGATCAAATGCTGGGTGATGGCAGAAAAAAAGAAGTACAGTCATCAAGCACAGTCACCAAGACTGAAGCGCTAGGTGACAGGCTCCTCAAGAGGAACCAACAGGAGTCCTGATGGATGTTTCCCTCCTCTGTACAGATGACCAAAGACGGTCAGCACCAGCTCTCACAGACAGTCAAACTAGGGATTCAGAGGATTCTGTTTGTGTTTTATTGTCTGCCCATCAAACAGTGACAGATTCTGTGTGTGACTTTCCTGTCATTTCAAAAATTTCCACTGAAGAAAAGATCACAGATTCCAACAGTTTAACACCTTCATCATCCAACTGGCCTTCATCACAGAGACTTTCACTCTGTTCAGAGCCACCACCAAAGGATGAAGATCTCAGGCTCTGTTGTTGCTCGGGCGCATTGGAACCTACGTTGCCCCTTTTGCCTCAGCTCTCCTGTAGCTTTATTCCATCCCAATCCTCCTTCGCAGCATTTTGCGTAAATCAAGACTCATCACACCCCTTCTCTGCTGGGCAGGAAATGAGCACACCTACAGCCCCTGTGGCTGAGGGCTCCGGGGCAGCTGGGGGTTTGATAGAGCCGTTTGCCACTGAGACCTTCACCAGCTGCAGCCTGGACTCCAGACACTGTCAGCCGGCTCCTTTGTCTAGGTCGTTATCACCTCAGTCAGATAGTTTGGATAGTGATTCAGCTGGAGCGCCAACGTCAGACCTTTATATTTCTGAAAGTGACACGCATGACTTTGCTCCGAGCCAAACTCTAGATCCACATCACATTATATGTCCCGAATGCCAGTCATTTTCAGATAAGAGAGTGGGGCAAACTAAGCCTGATTATGATACACGTGTCCTGGTGTGCGATTCAGCCGGCATTGTGACACGATGTCATCATGGCTCTAGTGAGATGCCAGCTATTGAGGGCGGTGTGTCAGAAGTGAGCAAGCACGAAGAGTTACGAGCACCTGCCACGGAAGCCTGGGAGGTGGGCTCGATGCCGGTAAATGACGGGAGATTAGGAAAAGCGGGGGTCACTGGTTTAACCCCGCAGCGCACGGACAGCCCCGTTGAGCTCTGGCTGGACGCTTGTCAGTATCTGACCGGTGAGGACACAGAAGGCTGGGAGATTGTGGACAGACAACATCAGTCTGTGATGCAAGAAGGTCCCTCAACTGAGTCCTGTTCTCCGCAAGGAGACAGGAAAGTCTCAGATTACAACCGAGATGGTGGCATGGGGATTGGCTGGTCCTGTGATGACACCAGAGGTTGGGGCCCACCGGTTGAGAGGTGGTCATCTGTGGACAGCTGGGCGACGGCACTTTCCGACTGGACAGGAATCCTTGAGGCTCCACCAGAAGACATCACAGCTGCCTTTGCGGAAATAGGGGCTGAGATAGATGCTTTGACTCAGGCTCTAGAGGAGGTAAATACTCACATAGAGTCAGACCTACTGCAGGTAGATAAAGAAACAGCAGCTGAGGAACAACTACGGAAAACCATGGGAATCCAGGATCAGCCTCAGAACACTCAAAATATTCCGGAGAGCTCCATTTACTCTGAGCAAAGCTGCCTCTCTTTTTGCCTTGACGCCCCGGAACCTGAACACCATGACAAGGAGCGATCCCAGGGCGTTAAATCCTTATGTGATCCACTAACCAACAAACAAGAAGAACAGGAGCCAGAAGAGCCCCAGATGTGCCAGGAAGAACACTTCCCTCTCACCTCTGCCCAGCACTCATCCACTGATTCATCCAATAAGACTGTGCTGTCTCTTGGAGGGCAGAGTGTGGATGCTGCCCCGGCATCCTCTGTTGATTTGGATCTTTTTCACTTCGACGGCCACACAGAGTCCTTTCATGATTTATTGATGGGCAAAAAGGATGAACCAATTATCCTGAATATAACAGAGGATACAGATTCAATCATGCCTTCACAGCAGGTATTTGAAGAGGTAAGATTTTTTTATTTTGTTCATGTAGCTTGTCATCCCTGGTTAAACAGTTGGTAGAAGGGTTAGAAAGATTTACCCACACAGAACAGCAATCACCTTTACATCTTTGCCAAACAAACAAATCTCTAATGAGCTATGGAAACGCAGCCAGGGAATTAAAAGACATTCCCACTTTTGTCCTTGTGATTGCTGACATGCCATCTTAACTCCTGTGAAACTCATGAGTGTTGCAGACCCATATTGGAAAAGCCTGTTGGCTGCCATCTCAAAGCCGGATGGGCAGATAGTGCCGGGGGAAACAGGAGTTGCCTCAGAGGAAGACTTCAGACGAACAGAAATGGCATCTAATAATAGCTGAGAGTTCAATGATAATAGCATGCGTCTCCGGCGTGTCAGGCTGGAGGGGTGAGAGGAGAGCACAGCTGAGGGCTGAAATCTGACCCTTCTTTGCTCTATCTCTCTTTTACACCCTTTAACACACCCGTTCAAGCCGCATATCCCTTAAAAAACCCAAGATCAGGAGGCTGACAGGTCCTCAGGTCTCGAAGACTCTTTTACCGGCTTAGGTTTGTGTACAAAGCAAATTTGGGCTTTGATTGTAACGGTGAAGGCTTTGGTTGCATGCAGGACATATGGATATAGAAGCATGGGGTTTCTTTATCTGCTTTCTCGATCTTTGGAAAGGTATGTGCTGAACAGAAAAATTGAAAAGAAAATAACATTAAAATAAAAACTGTCTTTTGGCTTTAATGTAGCATATTAACAGTGTTATGCTCTCTATTATTTTGTCTTGATCTCTGGGAAACCTCTGTTCTTTGGATAAGCTTTCGGCCACAGAAACAGAACTAAGACCTCTTGTGTTATATGTTTTATTTTCCAGCCCCTTGGAGATGACCTGACGCATGAATCTGGTTTACCCCAGCTGGGCTCAGTGACCACAGAACTGATTGATTGGGATCCAAATCAGACTGAAACACATCTGAACCTCCTCACCGCATACGCTGGTACAACCCCAGACGTGCGCGGTGTGGACGCACAACCTGATCTGCACGTTCATGAGTCATTCAACACTTTACCAGCCCTTGATGGAGCCCATCAAGAGGCGCCACAGTTTGGGAGGCCAGAGTTTATTATGCCTTTAGCTCCTCTCAGTTTCGGCTCCTCCCTCATCTGTTGGACGAACAGCAGTTTGGAAGGAGATCAGACTTGTACCAAAAGATCTCTCACCGACAGCCACGGTTGTGATCACATCCAGCCTTGCACGTTCTGCCCTATCCCAGATGACAAATCTTCTAAAGACAAGCAAAATCACAAAAAGCAGAGTTTAACAAACACTTCTGAGGAACAGTCTCTGGGACAACTGAAGCAGTTTCCCACCAATGATACTGTGAAGTGTCTCCTTGCAGCAAGAGAAACTGAGATTGATGACCTCAGAGGAGAAAGATCAAAGTTCCCATTTTTTGCCGCTGATCGTTTCATCGTCTCAGAGGAGAGCCGTTTAGCGTGCATCACTTTAGATTTGGATGACCCATTTTTCTCTGGGTCAGCAGAAGCCACACCCACAATCGCAGTATCTGAGAAATCCAAACAGAAGATGCCTCACAAAACTCACAAGCATCCCTCAGAGAGCAAAACACGCTCCAAAAAGGACAAATCATCTGGTCATATTCACACTGAGCATACAGACGTAAAAACAGAGAGCACATCTCCTCAAGTCATCCAGCAAATCTGCAAAGAAAATCAAGCCAATGGGAACAGTCCGGCTGAGACTGAGGCCAAAGAGGCTAAACCGGTGATTGGTACTGTTGTGGGCACTGAGAAGGGTACAAGCAAGCACAGCAAGAAGAAAAAGAGGCATGGTCCGAATACAACAACAAAGAGTGCAGGGGAGCCTTCAAATGATTTGGAGATTGGAGCGAAACCGAAGACTGCAAAGGGAAGACCAGAGATGATTGAAGTCAAGCTGGGATCAAAAACTGGAAAAGCTCATAAAGAGGCTGACCAGTCAGTTAGTACGGAGAAAAAAGCTCAACAACCAGAGGAGGGTCCACCCCAGGAAGAACAAGCTCACCACCACAAAGATCATAAAGACCACAAGTCCAAATGCTTGTCCAGTCCTCTGAAGGATGATGTCATTAAAAGGCGACGTGTGTCAGGAGACAAGTTTGGGAAGCTTGTCAGTGTTTTGGAATCTAAACTACCAAAGGCAGAGTCTCCATTCAAGGGAAAGGGAGCACAGACCCAGGCAGATGTTGGGGTGGCTCATAAGAAGGCGTACAGTGAGGTGGTCAAACAGAACATACCAGCAGAAGGTGAGCAGGTTGATCAAAGTATTTTTCTTCCATCAACGAAGGGGCAGTTTGGGTTTTTTATTCATCAGAGTACAATTCTAATCTCTGCAGATCCCAAGGCGGTGCAGCCTATCCAGGCAGTGTCAGTCAGTGGGGACCCTCAGAGTCTGTGTCTGTGGTGCCAGTTTTCGGCTGTCTTCTCTGACTATACTGTGAGCTGGACCAGAGATGGAAAAGTCCTGGCTGAGATCAAAAGGAGGTATTTATTTCATTTGACACTGTTTTTATTTTTACCATGTTATCAACTTTGATCATTTTCTTAACATGATATTGTTACAAAACCCACGTACTAATGTCCATAAAATACATTCATACATACAT